AGACTTTCGGTTTTCTACAGGATGCATTTCGGAGAGTGCGCGCAGGAATTGCATAATTTAATTCCTCCCTCTCTCTTCCACCATCGGACAACCAGACGCTCGGCCAGTCTCCACCCTTTCATTGTTGACTTACCACGCATTCGAACCAAACGGTTCATCACGTCGTTCATCATGCATACAGCAAAGGAGTGGAATAAGTTGCCAGCATCTGTCTTTCCACTTGATTACAGTGTGGGTGTCGTCAAGGCAAGAGTGAATAGGCTTTTGTTAAGTCAGTGCGCTTCACCATCTTAGGCTACATCACCACTTACAATTAGGTGGGATCGTAGATAAGCGCTGGCTTAGTACAAGACAAAAAAAAAGATTTCGTTGTTTTCGATATAAAGAGTAGTTAAAGTTCTAGCAAAAAGTCAAATAGTTATGCCAATAGAATTTCTTAACAATGTCGTGCTACTAAAGTAATTTAATCTTCATAGAATCAGGCGTTACTTTGCGGAAATCCAATATAATGGGGTTGTTATAAACTAATTTGCTTAATTCCGCGTAAAGAATGACACACACAAAGAGGCACGACACACCACTCTCGAAAATACCACACGTGTTTCGCCTCTAGGAAGCCTCGTGTAGAGGCGAAACACGTTTCGAATTTTCGAGAGTGGTGTGTCGTGCCTAGTGTGGTGGTGCTGGGGGTGTTAGTGCTGGGATTAACGGCGACGGTTATAATGCGCGCGATTGAGGGAGGGTGGGAGGTCCCCTTGGAACTGAGCAGGGCACATCATTTTCTTTCTTTACGCGGAATTAAGCAAATTAGTTTATAACAACCCCATTCATTTAATCTTACTTTAGTGTCATAAGAAGAGATAGACAAGTTGCGCTGGAATATTATTGGATTATCTGAGGTCCGAAGAGAGGGGGAGGATATGGTAATCCTCGAATCCGGCAACTTGTTCCATCACCGGGAGGGCGACCATCTGTGCCAAGGATGTGTCGGATTTATCGTCCACAAGTTTCTCGTTAACAACGTTGTAAATATTGGGCGTGTGTCCACGAGGGTTGCGTACCTTATACTCAGAATCAGCAAACGGTATTCGCTGAAGGTCATACAGGCTTACGCACCAACCTCGGCACATCCCGATAAGGAGGTGAAGCAAATGTATGAAGATATATCTAGAGTCATGCATTCTTCTAAAAGCCACTATATGTTGTTAATTGGAGACTTCATCAAGACAAGAGAGAACGGTGAGCTGAAGGTAGGGAAAATTGGAATAGGGCAACGAAACCCAAAGAGCCAGCAGCTGGCTGACTTCATGGAGAAAGAGGGACTCTTTATGATGAATTCTTTCTTCCAGAAGTGGCCCCACAGGAAGTGGACCTGGTCGAGCCCCGATGGTTCGACAAAAAATTGATTGAATTCATTATGATGAAAACAACTGTTCAGTGATGTCTCAGTAATCGCGAGGGTGAAAACCGGCAGCGATTACCAAATGGTGAGAGAGGCATATTGAACCTAAACTTTAAGTTGGAGAGGTCATGTCTAGTGAAATCAATGCTCCGTCCCCCTCGTGCACTAATCCAGTCTCAAAACCTTTCAGCTCGAGTTACAAAACCGTTTTCAGTGCCTACAAGATTACCATGCAGTGGACGATATGAATTACAAACTCGTGGAAACTATCCATGAGCTAAGTATTGCATTTGCACAGATTGATCTCCAAATGCATGCGGTGGAACTTACGCAACTTTAATACAGCTTGTATTGAAGAAGCGATCGAGCGGAACCAGGGCTCCAAAGTCTTTGCTAGAGATCTGCAGAAAAAGGGTACTTGAAGTCCTTCAGAAGCTCTTTAACTCCGTCCTCCACTACACCGGAGGCGTGGAGCAGAAGTGCGGTGGTTTTGTTCTTCAAGAAAGGTGACAACGCTCTCTTGAAAAACTACACACCGATTTCCTTTTTGAGCCGCGTCTACGTGCTGTTTTCGAAAGTCATAATGACTCGTCTCGCATGCAGACTCGACGACTTCAGCGATTCCAAGTTAACTATCGGTATATCGAAGTGCTGAAGTGATTGTACAGTAGGGCTGCGATGGCTATCCGAATACAGAACCAGAGTACGAAACCTATCTAATATTGCAGAGAGGTGTAAGACAGGGTGACGTTATATCCCCGAAACTGTGCACCGCTGCATTGGAAGACGTTTTCAAGCTTCTGGACTGGAAAGGATACGGTACTAACATTAGCGGCGAGTAAATCACTCACCTTCGATTTGCCGACTATATAGTCCTTATGGCAGAATCGCTAGGGGACCTAAGCACTACTCAATGACATCAATAGCGCCTCCCAACCGATAGATCTTAAGATTAACATGGTCAAAACAAAGATCATGTATAACGTCCATGTCACACCTATATCGGGAGTTGTTGGGAGCACTAAGCTCGAAGTTGTTGACGAGTATGTTTACCTGGGACTAGGTAAGTCCAACTTCGATTGAGAGGTCAATCGACGGATTCAACTCGGCTAGAGAGCGTTCGGGAAATTACGGTACATTTTCTCATCAGGTATACCTCAAAACTTGAAAACGAGACTGTACACCCAGTGCGTGTTGCCAGTGATGACATACGGAACTGAGACGTGGTCCTTCACTGGTGGCCGGATGAGGAAGCTCAAGGTCGCTCAGCGAGCTATGGAGAGGGCTATGCTCGGAGTTTCTCTGCGTGATAAACTCAGAAATGAGGATATCCGCAGTAGAACCAGAGTGACCGACATAGCCCAACGGATTAGTAAGCTGAAGTGGCAATGGGCCGGCCATATAGCTTGAAGAACCGACAACCAGTGGGGATAAAAGGTTCTAGAGTGGCGGCCTCGTACCGGCGAAAGAAGTGTAAGGCGACCCCCCCACTAGATGGAGTGACGACCTGGTAAGACATGCAGGAAGTCGATGGATGCAGGTGGCTCAGGACCGTGCTTTGTGGCATTCCTTGAGGGAGGCTATGTTCAGCAGTGGATTGTGAAGGGCTGTAATGATCATAATGATGATATTGTCATAAGAGAATCTACCGCTTTATCTCATCGCATGAAAGTTAATAGTAAAAAGAAAAAAATATCGTAGTCTATCGTAGATATATTATTCTTGATTCAATCATCTAGAAATATGGCAAACCTGAAATCAACGAAATAAATGGAACTGCAATCGCTAACCTGCCTACGAAGCGTGCTTTTACCGCAGGTGCTCGTAGCAAGAGAAATCTGACCAGGTATTAGTAGTTAGTATATACCTTAAAGGCCGGCAACGCATCTGCAATTCCCCTGGTGTTGCGGTTGTTCATGGGCGGCGGTAGTCACTCACCATCAAGTGAGCCGCATGCTCGTTTGCCCCCTCTCCTATATAAAAAAAAAAACCTAATTAGTAGTATCAGTGTAGTTAGTATTGTCCTAAAGAACAGCCATATTAGTAACCCATAGAGATGAAACTTATTCCAGCGACTCGTCAGTAGCATTTCATCAAAACCTAGCGCCTAGCGTTTCTTATATTGCAATTATAATTACCTACAATTAAATCTATTTTAAAATGTAAGGGTTAGATTGGCAATGAAATATTAACGATGTTTTTTGGGCCAGACAATGACCTATAATGATATCGACATTTGCATTTTAACATTTGTCCCTTTTATTTAAATGTGTATATATTAATATAATATAATAAAACTGTCCAATCGTATATTATGAGTTTTTAATTTTATTAAATAACGTTAAAATTCAAAGAATATACTTGAATCAATGTACCATTCAAAATTGCTTTGCTATCATTTCGTTACTAAATAGGGATGTATAAATGTGATGTTATGTCTGTGAGTTTTACCTATGTATATATTTATTTAATAATAACTAGATGGCACTCCTATTGTATAAAATTGCGATACGGTTTTACCTATTTCCTGTATGATGTTCAAATAAAGTTGAGTTTGGTTGTAGTAGTGTTATGTGTGTTATTTAGCCGCGACATCACCAACGTACGAACTACAAGCTGTTTTTGAGAATTTCTTGACCAAAAAATCCATTATTTATCTTGGGCGCGACCTGGAACTCAAACAAGTGACAAAACCAACAATTATTTGTGGTAAAGAGTATATAATATGTATATACAGGTTTAACAATTATGTGATGGCATATTAGATTTTGCCTACATGTGGCAAAACATTCAACGCATCTGCATTTTATTTCGCAAACGAAGATAGATGTAGATGTATATGGGCCACAGCAACCATTTACCATCAGGTGGACTATGTCCTCATTTTTCACCCTAATTCTATTTAAAAAAAAAAACATAATATCCCTTTAAAGTCACATTTTGTTAAGAATTCGATGATCTAAGTTTGAAGTTAGTGAACGATATCTGCGAGTAGTAAGTTCTGAATATATGCCTCCCCGTAAAATGACACAACGCATGGCCCTATCATGATCGATTTCCTGCGTATTTCATTTAGTCATCGCTTCATCTAGTGGGGGGGGGGAGGGTAAAGGGAGAAGATGTATACTAAGAAGAAGTAAGATGTGCCCGTATACCAAAATCCCGCCTGATTTTCCATTCCAGTTCAAAATAGGCCAGTTTCCCCAAGCAGCATTCGCGGTAACAGTAGTGTATATTTAGAAAAAAACTGTTTTTCTCATTGGTAATTGTACAAAATCTTCATGTTTCGGCAAAGGACGGGAAAACCAAAAACCTAATTTACAAAAATATTTTGAGTTAATTTATTAACTACGGTAATAAATAATTACATTTTATTGATTGACCAATTTACTCACACTTTGATGATTACCTTTTCACGTCAAAACCACTGATTAATGAAAGTTCGAATAAAAATAAATGACTATTCAAATTACTAATCCTACGTAGACGAAATCTAATATCGAAATATATAACTTTTTGCAGGTGGTTGTATATGGCGAGATGATGAGATGAGATGATGAGATGATGAAGTTGATATAATTTAAAGAAATAACATATAATAATCATTATAAAAAATTGGATAAACATAATAAAACAAATAATAAAGGAAACGCTTCAATTCTTAATTTTAATTATCTAAATACTGTAAAATCCTGCCATAGCCTCTGCTAAATTGAGCAACGTAGCCGAAAGCTTTTTCAAATTCCGAAGTCGAGCAACAGTATGTAAATCCATTTTTCACATCGCTCCAATTGATGCCTTTCATCCAGAATATCTTGTGACATATATCATCACAAACTGTATACCATTTCACGTCATGTTCTTTTAGGTCGGGCACATTCACCTGAATGATTGCAAGCGAAGCTACTGCGTCGTAGTCTTTTACAACCTGAAAATAAATTAACATGTTGAGTAAATATTATTTTCTACTGGCTAAATGAAAATCGCTAAAAGGTCAATCTAGCAAATTAGACTAACGAGGGCTAATAATTTTACGGTCACTAGATGACCCTAGTTTGGAGTAAGGTCAACTATATCACACTATGTCATTATTGATACAAAATCATTATTATAATTGAGAAATTACGTTTTAAAGAATAGTTTATCGGTTTCTAGAACGTTTAAGTACACAAAACAATGCATCTGACGTTTGCTTTTTAGTGTTTTGCACATCTCATCAATTTTGAATTTTTCAACTTTTAGTAATATCCGTAGTTTGTTTAATCCATCTCTAAATTAATGAATATAAAATATAACTACTATATCCGAAAGAAACAATAACCTTCATGTATATTTTGCGAACAAATTAACAAATAAATCATCGTGAATGATAGAACATCGTGTTCATTTTTGATAATGTTAAGCATTTTTTCCCGTGAAAATACAGGTTTTTACAGCTTTGCTTCTTATTTCCTTCAGACAGTAATTTATTAATTAAATTTAAATAAAATACTTACTTTCCATAAGAATTGCGGTATTACCCTCTTCTCTCCAGATTTATCAGTTATATATATAGAAACATTAGAAGTTCCATCATACAGCCTCAGTGGTGAAGATATTCCTGTCGTAATACTTAAAGCACGGTTTATTTTTCGCGTCTGTATTCTCAGCAATTCCTCTAAGCTATTCCAATTCTATAAGTAAAAAGAGGTTCCATAGTACGAGTACTTCAAATTAGGTACAGACTAACGCATTGTCAAAAAGCAAACAAAAGTGTAGAGTATTATTAATCTGTGAAAATGAAACACTGTTAGCAAAACTACTAGAGTACTTAATAGAAACAGGGGTTACTTTGCGGAAAACCAATATATTGAGGATGTAATACATCTTCAATATGGTACATTCTAAAATTAAGTCGCAATTACCGTTATTTTTTAATAAAATTAATAATTTATTTATTCTCATCACTACATGTTCTTTCCAAATAATCATATGTTCTTTTCATGTAACAAGCAAAACCTTGCCCACGGCATCGATGAATGCGTAATAAAACTCGATATTATCGACGTTTATTACGCATTCATTGTCTTATTATTATAACATACTAGTTGTTCCCAGCGTGTAATTTAGGGTTTTAATCATGTTTAGCGGAACCCTAATTCTTTTTCTAAAATATAAGTTACTACTAAGCCTAAGCCTAAGTTACTCCTTATAACTTCAGCTATCTGCCAGTGAAAGTCCCGTCGAAATCGGTCTAGCCGTTTCGGAGATTAGCCAGAACAAACAGACAGACAAAAATTTAAAAAATTGTGTTTTTGTTATAAGTACCGTATATATGACATTATAAACAGACACTTCAGTTTTATTTATTTGTATTATGTATTATAACATATAGGCGTCCGATGATTTCGCACAGCGAGTGAACTATTATTAAGTCAGATTAAGCTGTAAAAGCCAAAAGTTCAACAACACTAACATCTCAGAACATACAAAATAGCAAATGAAAGTAAAGTTGCATAGTTTAATTTAAGTAATTTAGTGGTGAAGTAAATTAAGTGTTTGACAGTACAATACGCGCCACGTATGAAGAGACATGAATTTGTTCAGCAACATTTGTGGACAAAGAATAATATTATTACGGTGGAGCAGTGCTTGTGGTACAAGCGTGCACAAAATAATTATACGTAGTTACGTATAACCATTTTGTGCACGCTTGTGGGGATGCTTTAAAGTTTTACATTCAACAGTTCAAGTCATCATTACAGCCCTTCAAAGGTTCACTGTTAAACATAGACCTTCTTTAAGGAATACCATAAAGCAACGGTCCTGATTTACTTGTATTATGAACATAATTATTAACAATTATTGTGATACGCCAAAATGGCTATCTGTCTATTACGTGAAACATATAAATTCACCGCGGGCATCGCGTGTGAAGTATCCCCGTATAAAAAAGTTAAAGGTACAGCATATATACGTCCCACTGCTGGGTACAGGCCTCTCATATCTGTGAGGGTTTTAGTGCAAGGAAATGTCCGCAGCACTGCCCCAATGGTTTTCTCGTGATATGTGGTTTCTCATGATGTTTTCCTTCCCCGCCGAGCACGTGTTAAATCAGCACTTAGAACTATAATTAACAATTTTAATAGTGCCCGCGGTGATCGTACCGTGAAATTCACAGCGAGCGTTAACCATTTGGGCTACCGTATGTAACTTACAAATTGGAGGATGTCCGGTGTTTCAGCCTTTCGGCCATTAGGTTCGCGTGTGTGCGTGCGTTACGATTTGAATGTCTGTGCGCAACGGTGACGACCTCATGATTTCTCGTCATCCAGTAAGAGATGCTTTACTCTTATTTCATTACTCACGTGTATAAATAAAATAGTGTACCAGTGAACCTACGGACCTGTTAGACTTTATATGTATGAGCGACCGCAAAAACCATTCGCAGTACGCTGGTGATTTTGCACAGGTGCGAATCACAGACGACCGCATCGCACCTCTCCGGCATCTTATGATGTATTATCTCTTAATTTATTAATTTATATCTATATCATAAATCGTCCACTGCGCAAGTTAAATAACGTGGTGTGTCAGGACTGATAGTTCGTGGCACATACTGTAACTTAAGTTTTAGGTATAAGAGTTCATTACTAGTTAGCTCATTAATTAAAAACTATTCTTACTTTCATATTGCATGTATTCCAAAGTGGGAAGACGTTCAGGTAACTGTGAGTAGATATTTGAGGTAAACCAGGTGTTACGTCCCTCTCGTTTACTAACTGCCTCGCAGCAAAACAACAGTTGTCTTCGCTGTGAAATGGCCTATTCAAAAGTGTAGATATGACATTCTTTTGCTGTTCGCAGTCGTACATCTCATTTATATCGTAATTAATTATATCGCTATGCAACCATCTTTCAGTCGGAACCGATTTTACTCCAGCTGCGTACACCATTAACCGATGCTGTGCATATAATGGTACTTTCAGTAATTTATGAAAGCAAATCCGATAGATTTCCGAAAATTCTCCTTTAATGTTTATTCCAACTTTAATTATTTCTGTGTCATTGTACCCACATATTTTTCCAGTTTTTAACGTTACTGGTTGCAATCTATCTACACATTTTATTTTTGAAAATTCTGCAATATCTTCATTTATTTTAAAACTTTTACCTTCTAAACATGTAGCTTTAACTTCAGTGCCTGGAAATTTGTTAAAACCTCCAGCGCACACGAATTGCGCACTTTTATTAATTGGTATTGCTAGGTGTCCATCTTTAATATTAAAATAAGATAATCTAAAGTCATTGGCTACCACAAGTGGATGATATGTGTCAAAATCTTTTGAAATATCTAACAAACAATCTGAAAAATATAAAATATTATTTTAATGTACGATTATGCGGTCAAAATTCAAACTTATATTTAAGCTCAAAACAACCAACCATTGGCTTGAACAATAAACTTCTTCTCAATTTTCCCGAACACGTTTTCAACAACACATGTATATTCTCCTATGCTGCTAACTTTGTAGTCATAACAATACGTCATATCATTCTCAGCGAGTTTCTTTTTATTAAACCACCACGTTATCTGTGAAATACCATTGTGTTTTATATTAAGTTGCCCATCTATTAGCATTTTGCAAAATAGCTGTGCTTGCACTAATGTGTGCCAGTCGGAAGAGTATAATATATAGAAAGGCAGTATAATAATAGGCGATGAGGCATTCCATCTTAGTCCTCAAAGGTAACTACAAATCTGTAATTTGTGTCTTCTTTGTTTGAATTTCGTTGCAAGTATTTCAATTAGGCCACAACGAATAAAATAAAATTTAATTTTTTTGTTAAAGCTTGAAGTTTACAATTTTAATAAAATGCTTGACTTTATCTCGCTAGACAAACAACCTTTTTAAACCTCCACCGATAAAAGCAATCTATACCATCAGGTCAGAATCAATCAGAATATACAATATCTATGCACATATATTAATATAAGATATAATGTTATATAGATACGGTTAAGGCACGTTTTCATTAAAAAAAATAAAATATTATTCGTTAAATAGTTGAAAATATTATAAAACATCTTAAGATGTATTTCAAAAGAACGATTATGAATAAATTAATATAATATATAATGATATAATAAATATGTGTATCATATAATATAATTATTTTAATACCTACCTTGGCTTTTGGTTTTGCTGAATAAGTGCAATACAAGTTACGATTTCCATTATCAAATAATAAACTCGAATGAGAATCATACGTAAATCGTGGCTTATGTCCAACTTGGACATAACACGTGCCTGTTTTGGATTGAACGAAATTGCTTACGCGGCACTTATAGCGGCCGTGATCCCTGTTCTTTACTTTTGAGAATATTAATTTTCCTTCTGCAATCATTTTCCTTGTGCTTTTCTACAAAAATAATGTATTTGATTATTCTAAATTCCAATTTATCGGTACCGGTGGAGTCGGACTCGGTTTGCTCGCATACCAAAACACTCGTTCATCACGAGCGCTTAGCTCCTGATCTTTTATTATTTAAAGGAATTTTCAAATAATTTGTTATCACTTCATTTGAATCAATCGAGAAAGTAATAGAAAAATTACGTATGAAAAAATAATAAGACATACATATTATAATATAGTACACCTTGTACCACCGTACTAAATCCGTACGCTCATGAGCGATATTGCATTCTATCTCTGCTGGTTTATTTTCCTCTAAGTATATGTTTGTAATAGGACCATTTTGTTCAGGAAAATCTGTAAAATTAATATGTTATTTTTGTAATGTATGTATAAAAATAAATATGTCTGTGGGGTACGTTTAAAGGTCTACTAAATTTATTGCGTCTTTAGTATGCCTTTAAAAGTACACCCGCATACTAATCATAAAAAAAAACCTATAAAATCGGAAACGCAGTTTTTAATTATCTTTGTCACACAATAGTCATTTTCTAACGAAATTAACTTTAGGTAAAGTAAAGTTGGAGTTTCCTACTGCTACTATTTCTTTTCCCTTTATCGCCTTTTGCGAGAACCACGGGTTGATACAGGGTAGTAGATTCTATTAAGCTGCCACTAAGCGGCTATTATTTATTATTTAAGAAATAAAATGTAACTACCGACAAAACAACAAAGGAAGGTAGGTAGAAGGAGCGTCACGTATATTTCAGGTAGCACCGAAATCCAGTTACCATACTCGACTTATTGTTATTGAACTCAAGCACACACGTGCATCCTTAATCATTTGCAACTAACAAAATGCATTTTAAGTATAATAAGTGATAATGATTTCTTATATTTACGCGAACACTACACATTGAATAAAACTACTTTTACGGATTTTATCGCGTTTAATTAACTTATTTTTATTAATTCCCGACGTTTCGGATACTTTACAACACCCATGGTCACGGGGGACTGAGGTGATTCACGTCCCGACGTCAAAGTTAACCCAGAGTACCTTCAGCTTTTTTAATTATTAATTTTGGTCCGATCTACGCAGAATGAACTTACTGTCTTGAAGTCTTGCAGTGGTATTCTTGGATTTAGTTTTGATTTTATTAACTACAGGATCCCAAGCAGATGATAGTACCCGGCCTCCCTCTCTATTGAAATTAGGATATTTTTTTAATTTCAATAGCCTCACGCATCATCCTTGGCATCCTTGGCAGCGTAAGATTTGGTCTAAGAGTCAGTGAGCGGCAGACTATTTCCTTATTATTATATAATCCCCTATACCTGAGGTATACATGAAAAGGGGACGCTTTAGTTTAATATAGAGATGCTGAGGTGTGAAAGGTTTAAAAATGACCGAAAAAAAAACTTGAAAGTAATAAGTCTGCCGCTTTAAAATCTTAAAATCTATACATATAATAAATCTGTAGAAAAATCGTGTCTATAATTCTTGGAAAAACAAGTCCAGGGGACTAAATAAAAGGTTCTGAAGCCAAATCAGTGGTTTTTAGAATTTTGTCTGTCTGTGTATTCCGGATTCACGCAAATACTACTGGACCGATTTACATGAAATTTTGTAGTTAATGACCCGTGGAAACCTATAGGCTACGTTTTATCCAATTACGAAACTTCAAAAAAAAGAAGGTTAAGTATTTTACTTCTTTTAGATGTTAATTTTCTATTATATCTTCGTTATAGGCGGGATGACCATATTTATAAATTAAGTTTAAAGTATATTTATAACCTTGGTATAATAATTTGAAACTACACCGATTTAGTTATTCAAACAGCGCCATCTATCATCAAATGGAAATAGTAGTATATTTTGCCTTGAGTTACTAATAAATTAAATAATATAATAAATAACTTCCATTTATATGTTTAAATAGTTATATTTTTAAATTTATTTTAACATTCTAATTCTAACGTTTAATTTTTTAGTATTTTTGTTATTTTATTTTAAAAGTGTAATAATTTCAATAGATAATAGCGACGTCTATCAAAAATATGAAAATTGATAAGGTTTTATTTCAATTACTAATCAATATGAAAACTGATTAAATCTGGTCTGTCTCCCATTATTGCAAAATTTTCATAATCAATATAGTTTTATTAAAGAGATTTTTATATATTATGTCGTGGCCAGATCGTATAATTGATCATACATCATAAAGTATTCTATCATTTCGTGAAATGGTGTGGTCATTTCATGATATTAATCACTTATTGTTGGCCATGCATTCTGGTCTCTCGCCAAGGCTGTCCAAGGGAATTTCTGTAAGCCATCATTACCATCTCTGCACAGGAAGGATGACTCACTGGCCCATGCCGCAAAAGAGAAAGCCGACCTTTTAGGCTTTTTCCCTTTTTGCGTCCAACTCGACTGTTGATGACGGGGGGAACACACCGCCGACCATCCCGCAGTGTGAGTGCTCCATACCGGATGTGCGGTTCTCACAGCGCTCGGTTCGCAGAGCACTCCTCTCCCTGGATATCCACAAGTCGAGTGGGCCTGACGGAATCCCGCCAATTGTGCTGAGGACGTGTGCTCCGGATTTGGCACCGGTTCTAACGCGTCTTTTCCGGTACTCCTACTCTCTAGGCATAATCCCGAAATCATGGAAGACAGCTTTTGTCCACCCGATCCCTAAAAAAGGCGACCGCTCAGACCCGTCCAACTACAGGCCTATCGCCATCACCCCCTTGTTCTCCAAAATAATGGAATCCGTTATAAAATGCCACCTCATGCGGTAACTTGAGGATCACCAGCTGATTAGTGACCGCCAATACGGTTTTCGTCGGAGTCGATCAGCTGGTGATCTTCTGGTCTACTTGACTCATAGATGGGTGGAGGCAGTAGAGTCCAAAGGGGAGGCATTGGCTGTTAGTTTGGACATTGCGAAGGCCTTCGATCGGGTATGGCACAAAGCGCTTCTTTCGAAGCTCCCTTCCTATGGGCTTCCCGAGAAATTGTGCAATTGGATCACCAGCTTTCTTGCAGATCGGAGCATCAAGGTCGTTGTAGACTGTGCATGTTCCGACTACAAGCCTATTAATGCTGGTGTTCCACAATGCTGCGTGCTATCACCAACGCTGTTTCTTCTGCATATCAATGATATGTTAAAACCGATAGCATTCATTGCTATGCGGATGACAGCACTGGTGATGCTCTATACACCGGCCGTGCCAATATTTCTCGGGAAAACGTCGCCGAGTACCGGAACAAACTTGTGTCTGAAATCGAGCCTTTGCTGGACAAAGTCTCGGATTAGGGGTGACTAAATCTAGTCCAGTTTTATCCTCAGAAGACACAAGTTTGCGCCTTTACCGCTAAAAAGAACCCCTTTGTCGTATCTCCTCAGTTTCAAGGCACTCCCCTTGTTGCCTCTGCCAGTATCGGAATCCTCGGCGTCGACATATCGAGTGACGAGCAGTTTCGTAGTCACTTGGAAGAGAAGGCCAAATTAGCCTCTAAAAAGCTTGGCGTGCTCAGCAGAGCGGGACAGTATTTCATGCCGGCACAACGCCTGCAACTTTACAAGGCGCAGGTTCGGCCTCACATGGAATATTGCTCCCATCTCTGGGCTAGGGCTCCCCAGTGCCAGCTCCTTCCACTTGACCGCTTCCAGCGCAAGGCGGCTCGAATCGTCGACGACCGAGTCCTTTCCGATCGGCTCGACAAATTGGCGCTGCAAAGAGATGTTGCATTTCTTTGCATTTTCTTTCGCATTTACCACGGGGAGTGCTCTGAGGAATTGTTTGGATTAATCCCAGCCGCCAAATTTCACGAACGCACATCGCGGCAGAACTCCCGATACCATCCACACCATCTGGATGATTGGCGGTCCACCACTGTGCGATTTAGAAGACGTTTTCTTCCTCTCACAACTTCCTTGTGGAATAGTTTACCACCAGCAATTTTTCCGGACCGATACGACTTAGGGACCTTCAATAAAAGAGCCTACTCCTTTTTAAAAGGCCGGTAACGCATCTGCAATTTTCCTGGTGTTGCGGTTGTTCATGGGCGGCGGTAGTCACTTACCATCAGGTGAGTCGCATGCTCGTTTGCCCCCTATATACCTTGACCGATGATGATTAGAAATAGTTTGAAGATGTTAATAACTAAACACAACGTTGCTATTTCATAATATGGTCATACGAGTATGACGATATTAATTGGCGGCGCTGATGGCGTACTTTTTAACAGAAACAGAACTTTTAACAGATTTGACTTTCATCACTTTATGTCTTATTTATGTAATAATTAAAATTTCGTTTCTATCGCTAATATTACTAGATCGTATAATTTTGGCTTTCATTGTTTCATCTACTAATAGCGCCATCAACTTACTACTAAAAAATACTAAAATGGCAAGTCACTGATAAAATTAAATAATAGAATGCTACTGAATGCAAATAATTGGAAATTCGTTAGTGGCGTCGTTAGATGTGTAATTACTAGTTAGATGTGGTCAACAATCACACAAAAGCTTAGTTTCAATACTTCAAAAATTGAAAACGAGACTGTACAACCAGTGGGTGTTGTCAGTGATGACTTATGGAACTGAGACGTCGTCCTTCACTGCTGACCGGATGAGGAAGCTCAAGGTCGCTCAGCGAGATACGGAGAGGGCTATGGTCGGGGTTTCTCTGCTCGATAAACTTAGAAATGAGGATATCGGCAGTAGAACCAGAGTGATCGATATAGCCCAACAGATTAGTTATACTTTAGCTTATAAAGTGGTTATGAGCCGGCCATATAGCTCGAAGAACCGACAACATGTGGGGAAAAAAGGTTCTCTAGTGGCGGCCTCTTACCGGCGGATAAAGTACAGGGCGTCCTCCCACTAGATGCAGTGACGACCTGTTAAGACATGCAGTAAGTCGATGGATGCAGGTGGCTCGAGACAGTCCAGGCCAGGCCTGTCCTGGCCTATGTTCAGCAGTGGACTTGTGAAGGGTAGTAATGATGTTGAATGATAGCAGATGGTAGCACTCAGCCATAATGTCTATTAAAATTAGGATGTTTCTTAATTTCAGCCTTGCGAATTATCATTGGTAGCAATCGGTGTTCTATTGCAAGGATTTATTGTCTATCAGATCCGATATAATGGTTGGGATCATAGAGAGCGTCGCGGTGCTTCACATCAACGATACTTTCAACGAACTTTCATCCAAAGATGCTTAAAAAACCACACTTAAAAAAGTTAAAATCAAACGTGATAAGATACGTAACATTAGTTTTATTCCATGTGACATCATTATAGAATATAGTCTACTCGACTACGTAAAAAATATCTAAAGCTATTTTATGGTGCTAATCAATATTATATAGGACCAATGATATGAATAAAATATCTCAAATAAACATAATACCGTAAATTGATAGAAGACCAAGAAATTCATCATTATTTTTTTTAATTAAATTAACTTTAATCATGTATAAATGTGAAGAGTAAAATCTAAATAATAATAAAGATCTACAGAACATTTTAATTCCAAGACAATTTATCTTTCTTATGGATACATTGGAAGACACGCCCGATATAAAAAATAGTATGTCTTTCTAGACATATATATTCACGTGTACCTGTAGCAAATTATATCTATGCCAAATACCTAATCTACATCTAATAGTCTTTTAAAATTTAAAAAAAAAACTTTGACAGACACCGAGGTGAATCTAAAAGTGATCGAATTTTGCTAAATTTGGCACTGAACAGCATTTAATGATGTTTCTAAATTCAACCTCATGTCAGCAAAAAGTAAAAAGCTGGTATTCAATGAAACTTAGTAAAAATAACATAGGCAGATACTTATGGCGGTTGAAAGGCCATGGCCATGGCCAAGAAATAATTGTACTTGCCAACTTATCTAGGTTGACAAGTACAATTTTTTCTTTATAATTAACGTTATTTCCATAAAACTGCAATTTATATATGTTGTTGATAATATTATCTAACATATATATTTTGCAAGGCAGACATAAATTGATGTTTTATCACCCAGGCAGACAACGAAATTCATTGGCGTCCATAAGCGCGTACTATAGCACTCGCTCTAATTCAGTCTTTAGATTGAATTAAAATTTCTGGAATAAATAAAATACTTGTGTTCGACTTTTATTTAGTATTAGTCATCATATTTATCGTCATAATTACAGCCGTTCACAAGTCCACTGCTGTACATCGGCCTCCCCAAAGAATACAACAAATCACGGTCCTGAGCCACCTGCATCGATCGACTTCCACATGTCTTACCAGGTCGTCACTCCATCAAGTGGAGGGTTGCCTTGCCCTACAATTCGCCTACCGGTACAAGGCCGCCACCCCAGAACCTTTCTTCCCTGTCGGTTGTCGGTTCTTCGAGGTATATGGCTGGCCCATTGTCACTTCAGTTTACTAATCCGTTGAGCAAGGCAGAGAATATTTCAAGATGTCAAAGCGGCAAACTTATTACTTTCACGTTTTTATCGGTCATTTTTTTACACCTTCCACACCTCAGCGTCTCTATATCAATCGCCGGTCAAACTAAATAGGTCCCATTTTATGTACCTCATGTATAGAGGAATAACTGAAAAAAGTGAAGCTTATTGAAATACCGTAAGTCTGCCGTCCACTGACTCTTACACTACTATTAGCTCTCATTTATAATTATTATTAACGTACGTCAAGCCTACTCTTTATCGTTTTTCATCGTGCATCGTGAGTAATCAACCGTGTGTTAGTCGCATTAGGATATTTTTTTAATTTTTCCATATATACGGTGTGTTCACTCAAGATATTTTTTTTTTGGTAACGTTACCCCACACTAGGATTTTCTCCTGTGTCGTGGAGGCAGTTTACAAACATAAATTGCACAAGGAAAAACATCCAGACCCAGAATTGACAAAGAGCGTACATAAGACGAACAATGGTTATATAATTTTGGATACAAAAATTCAACAAAAGTCAATCTCAGAAAATCCAGGCCAAACACTTCTCCTATTGCTTATGTTGCATTTGCTACTCGATACACAAGTATTCGATCGAATGAGGAGTACGAATTACTCGATCCTTACAAAATATTTGATTGAAGTTGATTCCAATTCGAGTCCTAATTCGATTATTCGCTAGCTTCGGTTTTAGGATACGAATTGCCTTAAACTCAAATCAAATTTGATCGATTAAATTCTCATTCTAATCTGTCTAGATTAGGCCTGCTGATTAATTTAAAATTTTAAATGATTCGGCAAAACTGTCATAACATTACAATAGTAAATGCAAGAAACTTGTACTAAATGCATTGCATTCCTGTATTTAAATATAAATAAAAAAAAACATATTATGTTAGCTCAAAATAAAACTACATTTACAAGATAGGTTACTTACCGTCGACGTGGACATCAAACCTTTCATTAGCTATGCTTAAATTGTTTTCCGCGTTACAGGCGTATGATCCAGCAGAAGCTTTGTTAACATTTTTTATTATTAGAGTCCCATCAGATTCGACTGAGTACCATTCAGATTCTAGATAAAGAATAAAATATGTTATAATATTATAGAAACTTGAATAATGAATTTATACATGGTAGCGCCATGCTACAGCTGTATTAATAGTATAGTTGTAGTAGGAATGGGTCAGTTCTACCGGGGAAGGACCACGCTCTCACAGAATACTAGCGTAAAATAGCAGCTTAATGCTGCTGTGTTTCGTTTGGTAAGTGTGGAGAACCGGAGAGCCTTTTTACCGGAAAAGAGGCATTTCTTAGTCCTCACGGCTGACAACGCATCTGCATTTTATTCGCAAACGAGGATGGATGTAGATGTTTATGGGCCACAGCAACCACTTACATTCAGGTGGGATGTGTGCCCGCTTACCCTTATCCTATTAAAAAAATTAATACAATAACACAACTCCTTTGTTACACTTTTAATTGTTACGTTAATGTTTAAGAGGACTTTTATAATAATCATTATAATATATTACAGCGAAATATAGTAAGGTCAGTTAGATACAAAATGGAAGCAAATATTCATAGGCACTTAAATATTTTTATTTAATTTTTTTAAATTATTGATTAATTTAACATTATATTTATACCGCTTTTCGCGGTACACGCACAGGTCTGTATAATTTAGCCTTTGAGTGTCTGCACCGAACAAATTTAATGTAAATATGACCCAAATATTAATCGCACCGCCACTGACCATTTTCCTAAGCTATAAATTAAAATGAAAACAAGAAATTAAAAATATTTGAGTTCTCCTATAAACAATATATAATTAAATTCATGTTCTTATAATACAGTAATGCTAATACATACATACTTACTTCTTATTCTTAATTATAAACGTTAACCCCACACTAGGATTTTGTCCTGTATCGCCTAGTATGCACTGCGCCACGGGATCGTCGAGGTGTTGGACACAAGAGTCCAAACTAGATTAAATTCCCTAGCCGGGGCCACATTTGTCGTTATTGCAAAATGTGATAACTGTAGATATTAACAGCTCGCAGTCATATGGTAGGTAGCTTATTGAACGTCATCCTAAATACATTATTTGTTTTATCTAGTCAAATCACTGGATAAAAAATTGCCAGATCATCAATATAGACCTATTATCGTTTAAAGGGGGGGGGGGGCTATAGTATTAACGCATTGCAACTCGAGAAAGTTGTTATTGTACATCAAAGTATTAAATCATACATGTGATGTCTGCGTTACCCTAATATATCTGGCTATAACGTTGGAAGTCTTAAGTTCGAATTTTTCTTGAACACTTTGCCCAGGCGGGAGATCCCCATTTTACTTTCAAAATCAAATAGCCATTCGTTCTCTAAAGTAATTGTATAATGAAAAAATTCTTGTAATACAGCTAAAACTCAACTCTGACCAGTAAATTACCATTTTCGGTAAAACAGTTATAAAAGATAAAATATTTCACAGAATATTTCTTTTTTTTCTTTGCATTTTGTTCTTGCTATACATTTAAACCGATATGTTGCACCACACTTTGGCATGTTTTGAAATATCGTAATATATTTAGCACTCCGACATCTACCTCTTTTTGAAATATAGTCGTTTATTACAAGCCTATACCCAAAAACGGAGGCATTCATTTACTCATTCGATCTATCTTTTATGTTTTAACCTGCATCAGTGTAACACATCATATATTAAGTCTATGTAAAAGTGGTAGGATGCAGTGGAAAAATCAAAAGCAATCTTAAAATTATTTGCACAAATATTGGTTTCATCCGAAGTTGGAATCCCAGACATGTTACTCTCCGTCAGTTAGTGTGACCAATAAACCACTACCAAAAAATTGATCCGAAAACTGTTTAGTTACAAAAAATTTATCATACTTATATTTAAAAGGTATCCATTCTTCATCCATCTTATTTTTGGTTTAGGGCTCCCAGTAGTGTAACAAGGTATCCTTAAAACTCGATCTCCAACGACAGCCTGAATATTTTTCTCTGAGGTGTTGGTGAATATGACAGGGGGTGCTGCAAATTTTTATTTTGTTTTATTTAATAAAAAATAACACGCACGTTTAATTATCTAATTTATAATACCTTTTTTGAGGAATCGCTTACTACCAGCGAGGTTTCCCGACTGACACGATTGAGGGACCTAAAAGCTTACTCCTTTTTAAAGTCCGGCTACACACCTTTAATTCCCTTGGTGTTGCAGTTGTTCATGAGCGGCAGTCGACACTTACCATCAGGTGAGCTGCATGCTTGTTTGCCCTTTTTCTATTAAAAAGGACTTATAATTTTTTCGATCAGACAAGCAAATTATTATTTAAGTGGTTTTATCTTGTTCGATGCGTGTGTACGCTATATTAATTAAAGTTCCCGTGGTAAAGGATAACCTCACTTTTTAAATCAAATCATCAAATCAATCGTCATCATCAATCAAAAAATTTGAATACAAGAAGGTACAAAGCAAAAGATAAACATACGTATAAAGGCAAATTCCTACGTATACATGAAAAGAATTACACTTGTGGTGCCGTCGAGCAAGCATTAGTCACTCGAGAAACTTCCTTCCTTGTTGATTGTCGGTTCGCTAAGTTATATGACCGTCGCATTAGTTCTTCAGCCTTTTACGGTTGGTAGGTTACTAAGGTTCTCTACGAATAACTTCGTTACAGATATAATCACACAAGGAAATTTCGAAAATACTCTGAACATACTCTCCGTAGCCCTCTGAGTAGAGTGCCTTTGAACTTTCTCATACGATTGTTAACTGAAAATTACCTCGCCTCGGTTATATCTCTGATATACGCACTAGCTTAAGCTTATTTTTGAGAAATTCTGAATGACAAGTATTAACTAAGTTTTTAGAATGCTACTATGTTGAATAGGATTCGACGAATGTCCTCTAGATCGAAAATCTTAGTTAGATAATTTGTCGTAGGTCAACACACTCATTAATAACTTCAAGCAATGTGTCTCAATAGCTACCAGAAAAGATGTGGAAATGAAAGTTTGTCATGGTCTTTGTATTCCCGTGTTCATCTTAAGACTTGCTCTTTGGAAGACACCACGGAAGCCATTGTGCATTATTTAACAATTGATTCTGGCATTATGATTATATTGTTGGTAACCACTCAAGTTAATTTAAGTTTGTTTCTGACAACATTGTATTTTTGGTTTTTCCTATTAGGAATAAGTATTATGCATGTAATGTGGGCAAATACAGAATAGAGTCAGTCAGTACTATATAGTTGTTTCATTGTTAAGTTCTCTGAGCCATCACTGAAAAGGTGGGCCGTGTCGTCTTCGAAGGTAATGACTTTTGTATGAGGAATTTTCATTTAACAAAGATCATTTATGTGCATCAAAAGAGATGAACCTAAAATGCTTCTCTGAGGAACTCCAAAATCTACAGAGAATTATCCGCTAATGATGCTATCAATTTGTACAAACTGTGTTCTGTCCGTTAAAAATCTTGTAGAAGTTTCAACTGGAGATCTCTGATATCAAGCTATTCAAGTTTTTCTTTATTTTTAATTGGGACAGATACTGTGTCATATGCTTTTGCCAAATCACACAAGTTTTTTTTTTATATATTTGCTATGTAATTGGTTAGTTTAAGCACCACGTCTGAAGTAGATCTGTTTGCTCTAAACCTAAATTGTGTTTTTGATAGAAGATTTTTATTTTTCAAGTAACTTACCAATCTATTATTTATAAAACGTTCAAAACAATTTCAGATAGTAGGGAGAATATGGAAAATCGTTGGATTCGGCCGGTATTCAAACTCAACCCGCAAAACCACGTGCCACCGTATAAAAAAATACTATCATAGCTATTAATAAGTTTTTTCATAGTAAGTACATTGCTATAAGTAAGGTATCTTCTACGAAACTTGTTGATGATAAAATTAACCCATTACTTCAAACAATCGTGAACAAATTCTTTGTTAATTATTGCTGTGTAAATGTAGATTCTTAAGAACTGTTCTCCATTTGCTTCCAAAGTCTCTGCTATAATTTCATCCTAACCCGGTGCCTGTCTAATCGTAACTTTGCTGATAATAGTTGTAATCTTACTTAGACTGACGTTCGGGACATCATCGGAATAGATACTGTCCAAAGAGACTTGCTCATTAGGCCTTTCCGTGAATCAAACAAAGATGTGTACATTTGTCTGTAGAACCTATTAATCTCAAGAAATATCTCCGCTTTCCCGGAATGCCAATTTCACAGTCTTCAACTTCTGTCCGTCATATAGATCTATAACAAAAACCTTGGATCCTTGGTTCCACATTTGATTTCACAGTATACACTTACGTCAGGAGATATTATGGTATTACCACCCTCCTGTTGGAGTTAGGTGCGAAGCAGCTCACTGCGTTCCATCTGTGAGCGGGAGAACCAGTGGCTTTGTAGGGCAGAAGGGCCACCAGCTCAAAAGTAGTCTGGACTTTTAAGCAAAGTTATACCGAGTAAACGTTACCCAGGTTACGTAAGTTTTCAGGGATTTCAGCGATGTAGCTCTTGGTGGACAGGTGTAGAGACAGCCATATGTTTATCAATCGCACAAAAGACATCAGAAATGCTCATTAAAACACCTGACAGAGATTGCAGATAAACCCCAACAGCGGTATCTATCTAGGAGCTTTCGCGGGAAGTTTAACGCCCATCACACATGGAGTGGTTGTTCCTAAACAAGAAAACTGGCCAAACTGGAAGAAAAGTGCGCAATCTTGCGTTATCACTACATCTCGCTCAGTTGGTTTAAATAGCGAAGTGGATAATGGATGTCGCCGGACATACCCAGCATTGATTGAACCTTCTGCTTACAACAGACCCAGATAGGCACTCGATATCTGTATCGAGTGCCTATCTATGTGTGAAATCTGTATCGGTCATTTCTCCTCAGGATAACGGTATAGCGGCCACGAAAAGAGAATGACGATACAAGTCAGCAAACTGGGATAAGATGCGGCAAGGGCGCTTTTTTCGGATGAACCCTCCTGCTTGGACGATGTAGTTGCGGAAGTAATACAGCAGGGAATGAAATATGTTAAAGCAAGTATATATAGAATATAGTTGGCTACTCTCCGAGCAGAACACCATGCCCGGCGGGAAATTTCGTCTTTTCTTTCCACGGCTAGAGCGGTGACCCCGACGTGATGTGAACACGTAAGCAACAAAGTTTGGAAACTACAACTTCAATCCTTCGTCATAATCCTCAAGAACCCCTACTCTTCACTCCCAAGAGTCGGCTTCTGCAGTCTTCAGCTCCTGCAAGACAGTCCAACTTGTTTTTATCTCGACTCACCGTAGATTTATCACTTGCAAGTGCGTTGTACGGCATGCATTACACACCGGCATATCGTTCGTACTGGCATCACTTACCCTTACACACACAGCATGTATTCCCACTAGCATTAAGAACGCACCGGCAATTGGACTGCACTATCGACCTCCGGTTTAAGTGAGGGGGTGATGTGGCGGCGCTATCGTCGGACCACAAGCGATTCAGGTTGAAGCCTAAATCGTTTTATTAAAGTTACGAAGTAAATCAAGCATATATAGAATAAACTCCGACTATATACTACAGGAGAATTGTCCGCTCCCCGAGCTGAACACCTTTCCCGACGGGAGTTCCCCCATTTTCCTTTCACAGCTATAGTCGGTCACAAGGTTCGGCCCTGGTATAATGCAGACTGAGCTTGTGCCTGCCTACCAAGACTGGATTCCAGCTCGTGATCACAAAATTAAGGCTCGGAGGATTTGTGCGAAAATAGAACGTATAATTCTACTGCCAAATCCTGCAAGCGGGTTCTCCGCAGAGTACGATTCGACCTTGTCAGTTGTAATGGAGCTAGACTTGCTTCTAACCCTTCTGGTAGTAAGCAGTCAAGTTTTGATTCTTGTTGAAGGCTGTCAAATCCAACTTCTTCAGTCCCTCATTGCCACCAGATATGAAAAGGGTACTCAACAATAAACTGGTGATATACCTTGAAATAAATCATCAATATAGTTTCTGCCGGGCATGATCCACTGGTGATTTTCTTGTGTATGTCACGCACTTCTGGGACAATGTCATTGAGAAGAACGGTGAAGCTCTAGGTGAATATCTCGTAGGCTTATAATAGAATTTGTTACGCAAGTCTACTGAGTAAGCTTCCTGATTACGGCATCCCCACCGAATTTTTCAACTGTCTAACTTTCTGAGTGAACGGTGGATCAGGGTAATGATAGATAGCTGCTCTTCTGACCGAATACATATTAATTCCGGAGTTTTTAGGGGTCTGTTCTCTTCGTGACTCTTTTTCTGCTGTATATCAATGACCTACTTTTACCAGGTATTGTTGGGTATGCAGCTGACAATGCAGTCACAGAGAGGTTCTTGTCCGGTACAAAAGACGGAAGATGTGCATTAATAAATTCATTAAGAGAGGCCTTGGTGGAACGGATAAATGCGAAATTAAGTCTTGTCTCCCAATGGAGAGACGACATTCTGGTCACATTCAATGCCGCTAAAACGTAGGTCTGTCTGTTTTCCGCAAAATGGAGTCCACTTGATCTGGCTCCTACTTTCCGAAGTAAATTTATAGAGGTTAGTAATCATATCGAGCTTCACAACACACATTTGAGCCTCAACTTTAGCGCTAAAATTGAGTCAAAAGCACAAACTACCGCAAAAATCTTAGTATTCCAAACAAGATAAAGCGATTCTTCACACCTGGACCTGGAGCTTCTAAGTTTATACAAAGCTCAAGTCCGAACATGCACGGAGTATTGTAGTCACCTTTGGAGTGGGTCAGCAAAATACCATCATGTTGCACCCGAATCAGTGGAATGCAGAGCCAAGTGGCTTACCGGTGACAAAAAGCTGGTGGAAACTAAGTTTCACTGCTTAGTTCAGCGCTGCCAAGTTGCTTGTTTGTCGGTCTACTACAGATTGCACTTCGGAGAGTGTGCCTATGAGCTTCATAAGCTCATACCGCCATCTCCGTTCTCCTCTCGGAGTAACATGTACTGTAAGTTACCATACACACTTGGTTGACATTCCAAATATTCGCACTAAGTATAAGTCATCTTTTATAATAGGCACAGCTAAAGAGCTCAGATAGTTAGCGCTGGCTGTAAGTTTTACAGTACGCGAGTAAAATCCGGGTTCGATCCCCGCCAGCAACAAATAAATTGTTAATTGCAATTTTAAGTGCTGATGTTACACTTAAAATAGTAAAGGAAAATATTGTGAGGAAACCTGCATGCCTGAGAAAATAGAAAAAATATATTTCGAAGACATCTGAAGTTCACCAACACGCATTGGGGCAGGACATTTCCTTGCCCTAAAACCCTCTCAAAATGAGAGGAGGTCTATGCCTAGCCTAGGATGTATATAGGCTGTAACTTTATTTAACTTTTAATGAGTGGAATGCCGGTGGTTGTTTTCGGTCGAGTGCGTATAACCTAAACCTATTCAAGGTGCATGTGAAAATGCTTCACTTAGGCAAACTCCCTCCATCGTAGACCTCATTTTTGCCCCCGGGCTAGATGGTGGTCAAGAGTGAGACCATTGTTAAGTTAAAAAAAATCTTAATTATCAAACTCTTCAAAACAAGTCATTGCACTAATATTATTCTTCCTTAGAGGTAATTTTGGTTCATTCGACATTTAAGTTCCAGTTTTGACTGCATCGTTGGTCTAGTGGTTGTTAACGCGACTGCCGATCATGAAGTCCCAGGTTGTGCCAAAAAATCAGTTATTGAGTTTTTCCCGTCAAGAAATTCTCGGTAGCTGTCCGGAGACATGAAGTTCGTGGTGTCTCACCTCCGTGCTTCGGGAAGCACGTAAAGTGGCACCTAGACCTGATCCCTCTCCAGTCATCTCAGCTTACCGTCCCATCAGACTATGAGGGTGAGGGAATACCAGTAGAGAATAGAAATCGCTAGTCTCTGTTGAGGAAGGGCGCCGTAACCGAAATTCGGTTTGGGGACATAATTTTCAACGTTCATAACTTTACAAACTTTTCAAGCGATCTTTTGGTGATAAACAGCATTTATTTCGTAATATTTCATTTCTGATTAAACAAATCACACATTAAATATACGTTATAAAATATACTTCTAAGACTAAGCATATAATATATATATATATATATATATATATATATATATATATATATATATATATAAATATATATATTCATCATTTCATTTCGGCGATAGACACTGGTAGGTGATCCAATAAATGTACCGTTTTGGCAATTTTGTCACGAAATAATAAAAATATATTAAAAATTAATTCATTTACCATCTACGTGAACTAAATATGTTAGGCTTACATAACCACCCAAGTTTTTGGCTGTACAAATGTAAAGTCCTTCGTCATGAAGCTGAATTCTTGAAATTACCAACAATTCAGAAGCATTCAAATATCTGTGAACAAAGATGTTTTAAATCAGATCGTTACACATTGTAAATCTAAAGCCTACATCGACTCAAAGAAAGACGTTCAAGTACAAGATCCAGTCTGGTCAATAAGCAAGCCAAGCAACAGTGACCTCAAGGATGTAGAGAAGTTTAACGGTGGTAGAGACAAGCAGCGGCTTTTGCTGTTGCACGTATGGGCCGGCTCGAGCCGGGTTAGTTCCACGACCTCACTGAATACCGGCGTGAAGTGGAAGCTCTGCTTCCGCGTTTCGTCTGGTGAGTACAGGTGAACGAAGGCCCAATCCCCCCCCCCATCAACACCGTAGCGGAATTACATGATAGACTACCCCAGGAGGGTACCAGCAACCCGGGAAAATCCCTCGCTGAGCATCCACGACCATGCTATTCCACTCCTGAGCGTGCGTGCTCAGACTGCCCCGCGTATTCTGCAAAATCTCAAAAATTCGGGGGGCAAAATTCTGCTGAATACAATAACTGCTCGAGGCAAACTGAGCAACATGACCAAGGCGACCCCTGCCACGCTATCCGTGAATTTCTGCAACATCAGGGGACTTCACTCGAACCTAAACGCCGTCCACTACCGTCTCGAGACGGCGAAGCCGGCCTTGCTCTTTCTGACCAAGACGCAGGTGTCCTCTCCGGCTAATACTTCGTATCTCTCCTACCCGGGGTACAAATTGGAGCACTCCTTTGTGCTTCGGGCTGGAGTTTGCGTATACGTCAGAGAGCACATTTGTTCTCGACGCCTCGGCAGTCTTGAAGGTTAGGACCTGTCCATCTTTGGCTACGCGTAGACAGCGACGGCCATCCGCGCGTCTACGGGTGCCTCTATAGGTCCCATAGCGGTAATGCCGAAACAGACCGACTCATCGACCACGTCCAAATGGCTACAGATTCCTTGCTACAACAGGTACCATCCGCAGAGATCGTGATCCTTGGCGATTTCAACGCCCACCACGCCGAATGGCTCGGTTCACGTTTAACCGATCATGCGGAGAGATCTGTTCATGACTTTGCCTTGGCATATGGTCTGACACAACTGGCTACATCGCCTACGCGGATTCCAGATGTTGAGGATCATATACCTTCCTTGTTGGACCTTCTGCTGACCTCTCATCCGGACGGATATCAGGTTCCCGTCGATGCCCCTCTCAGCTCTTCGGACCATTGTCTGATCCGGAGTGTGGTGCCACTCACGCTCCCCTCGCGGTTGCGTTCTGCAGGTTACCGCCGTGTTTGGCATTACAGGTCGGCGGATTAAGATGGAATGCGGTCTTTCTTTGCTTCCTACCCATGGGGGCGGGTTTGCTTCTCGCCGGATGATCCCAGCGCTGTTGCTGACTCTGTCACTGATGTGATGCTACAAGGAATGGAACTATTTATTCCATCATCTGTGGTGTCCATCGGAGGCAGATCTCAGGCTTGATTTGGTCGCTCCTGTAAGACTGCATTACGCAGTAAGCAAGAGTGTTATCAAGCCTGGGCTGCGGCTTCGTCGTCGGGATGTAAACACCAGCATACTTAAAAAGAAGTACAACTTCACATCCAGGTCCTTCAAAAGAGTTATTGCCAAGGCAAAGTCAGAGTACATAGGCATAATTGGCGAGAAACTAGTTCGCCTTCCTTCGGGAACTCGTGCATTCTGGTCTTTCGACAAGGCTGTCCAAGGGAATTTCTGTAAGCCATCACTACCATCTCTGCACAGGGAGGACAACTCACTGGCCCACGACAAAAAAGAGAAAGTCGACCTTTTAGGCTCCCTTTTTGCGTCCAAGGCGACTGTTTGATGACGGGGGGAACACACCGCCGATCATCCCGCGGTGTGAGTGCTCTATGCCGGATGTGCGGTTCTCACAGCGCTCGGTTCGCAGAGCACTTCTCTCCCTGGACATCCACAAGTCGAGTAGGCCTGACGGAACCCCCCAATTGTGCTGAGGACGTGTGCTCCGGAGTTGGCACCGGTTCTAACGCGTCTTTTCCGGTACTCCTACTCCCTAGGCGTGGTCCCGAAATCATGGAAGACAGCTTTTGTCCACCCGATCCCTAAAAAAGGCGACCGCTCAGACCCGTCCAACTACAGGCCTATCGCCATCACCCCTTGTTCTCCAAAATAATGGAATCCGTTATAAACTGCCACCTCATGCGGTACCTTGAGGATCACCAGCTGATTAGTGACCGCCAATACGGTTTTCGTCGGGATCTTCTGGTCTACTTAACTCATAGATGGGCGGAGGCAGTAGAGCCCAAGGGGGAGGCATTGGCCGTTAGTTTGGACATTGCGAAGGCCTTCGATCGGGTTTGGCACAAAGCGCTTCTTTCGAAGCTCCCTTCCTATGGGCTTCCCGAGAAATTATGCAATTGGATCACTAGCTTTCTTGCAGATTGGAGCATGAAGGTCGTTGTAGACGGTGCATGCTCCGACTACAAGCCTATTAACGCTGGTGTTCCACAAGGCTGTTTGCTATCACCAACGCTGTTTCTTCTGCATATAAATAATATGTTGCAAACCGGTAGCATTCATTGTTATGCGGATGACAGCACTGGTGATGCTCTATACAACGGCCGTGCCAATATTTCTCGGAAAAACGTCGCCGAGTACCGGAACAAACTTGTGTCTGAAGTCGAGTTTTTGCTGGACAAAATCTCAGATTGGGGGCGTTTAAATCTAATCCAGTTTAATCCTCAGAAGACACAAGTTTGCGCGTTTACCGCTAAAAGGAACCCCTTTGTCGTATCTCCTCAGTTTCAAAGTACTCCCCTTGTTGTCTCAGCCAGTATCGGAATCCTCGACGTCGACATATCTTGGAAGAGAAGGCCAAATTGGCCTCTAAAAACCTTGGCGTGCTCATCAGAGCGGGACAGTATTTCATGCCGGCACAACGTTTGCAACTTTACAAGGCGCAGGTTCGGCCTCACATGGAATACTGTTCCCATGTCTGGGCAGGGGCTCCCCAGTGCCAGCTCCTTCCACTTGACCGCATCCAGCGCAGAGCGGCTCGAATCGTCGACGACCGAGTCCTTTCCGATCGGCTCGACTCATTGGCGCTGCGAAGAGATGTTGCATCTCTTTGCATTTTCTTTCGCATTTACCACGGAGAGTGCTCTGAGGAATTGTTCGGATTAATCCCAGCCGCCAAATTTCACGAATGCACATCACGGCAGAACTCTCGATACCATCCACACCATCTGGATGCTTGGCGGTCCACCACTGTGCGATTTAGAAGATGTTTTCTTCGATCGATTTCGTCGATTTTTCCGGATCGATACGACTTAGGGACCTTCAAGAAAAGAGCCTACTCCTTTTTAAAAGGCCGGCCACGCATCTGCAATTCGCCTGGTGTTGCGGTTGTTAATGGGCGGCGGTAGTCACTTACCATCAGGTGAGCCGCATGCTCGTTTGCCCCCTCTCCTATAAAAAAAAGTATATAGATACCTGAAAGATATAGTGGCCTGAAGGATATAGACCTGAAGGATATAGAGAGCTAGTTTAATTAGATAATTATGAGATAGATAGATATCTATCCTCAATGATGACAACGCATCAGTAGACTTAACTGTTTAATGTTGGTTTCAGGTTTCCATGAGCTGCAATAGCCTTTTACCATCAGGTGGAATATTAGTCCGTTCGTGACTTCAACCTAACTGATTCTAACCTCCTAGGACCTGGTATCATATTCAAAACTAGGTGTTCCCCACGACGGCGCCCGCGTGGAATTTATTACGATTTCATTGGTTTTTGTTTTTTTGTGCTGATGCCTAATTGTTTTTCTAAAGTAAAAGTAGCTTTAGTTGCTCCTTATAACATGAGCAATCTGGCAGTGAAAATCCTGTCAAAATTAGTCAGGCCATTTTGGAGATTAGCCGAAATAAACAAACCGACAAACATTTTAAAAATTGTTTAATTTTATTGTAAGTAAATACTTACATATACCTATATGCATTTTGTAAAAAAAAGTTATTTTAACATAACAAACACATACTTTAATTTTATTTATTTGTATAGATATAGAACATTGAACACAACGGAAAAAATATAACACACCCTTCCTTTTGAATTTAGCGTAATTTTATCATTTGTTCAATCATCTATCAATTAGCTATCAGATACCTTGTCTAGGTATCTGTCCACCATTTAAAACTGTGATGTCTAACAAAATGACATTTAGCATAGGGATAAACTGGTCCCACGTACGCAACATACGTGATGCAGCTCTTACGTTAGTTTACACACCTAAGCTATGTATGTAACATCGACACACGTTTGGCGTCAGGCACTCTTGTAAGTTTTTATCGCGATCGTGACTGTGAAAACTGGCAGCGATCAGCGAATTATGAGAGCACACTATTTCTAAACGTTAAGTTGGGGAGGTCACGTCGAATGAAGTCAACGCTCCGTCTCCCTCGTGCTCTAATCCGAAGTCGAAAACACTTTCAGCTCGAGTTACAAAATCGTTTCCAGTACCTAGAAGACTGCAATGCGGAGGATGATATGAATCACAAGCTCGTGGAAATTGTCCATGCGGTTGAAGGTAAGTTCTGCAAGACTCGTAGATAAAGGACGCAAAAACTGTTAGACGGCAAATGAAGCCTCAATTTTAATGACAGCATGCATACAGGTAACTGAATAGGCAGATCTCCAAATGCATGCGGGGGCACTTACGCAACTTCAACACAGCTTGTATTGAAGTGGTCGAGTGGCAACAGGTCTTTGCCAGAGATCTATTTGCCATAAAAAGCCAACTGTCTAAGCTGTAGACCGAATGTGGTAGCGTCGTTTCCGGGTTACCTGAGATTTTGTGTGAGATTAAAAGATTCTACGAGCAGCTCATTGTTGGATCGACACGCAAGTGTGGGTAACGATCCAAGTGCAAGTCTTATCAGACACTAATCCGATGATATGCTGGACGTCAGTCTGAGTGAGATTAGAATAGCTCTCCAGCAACTAATAAATTGCAAAGCCCGGGTGAGGACGGAATTACTGCGTAGCTTCTGAAAGCGGGTGAAGAACCAGTACACAAAACAGAACCAGTATTCGGAAGCTCTTCAATTCCGTCCTCCATGGTGGCACTACTCCGGAGGCATGAAGCAGACGTGCGGTGGTCTTGTTCTTTAAGAAATTCGACAACGCTCTCTTGAAGACCTATCGACCGATTTCACTTCTGAGCCTAGTCAACGTGCTGTTTTCGAGAGTCATTACAAATCGTCTAGCATGCAGACTCGACGACTTCCAGCCTCTCGAACAAGCTGGTTTCCGAAAAGGCTTTAGCACCATAGACCACTTACATACCCTTCGGCAAATTTTAGAGAAGACCGAAGAGTACAATCTGCCTCCTTGTCTTACGTATGAGAAAGCCTTTGATTCGGCCGAAATTCTGGCGGTGCTACAATCCCTTTAGCAGTGCCAAGTTGATTTTCGGTACATCAAAGTGCTGAAGGGTCTGTATAGTAGGGCTACGATGGCTATCCGAGTACAGAACCAGAGTACGTGATCCATACAAATGCAGAGAGACGTAAAACAGAGTGACGTTATTTCCCTGAAACTTTTCACCGTTGCATTGGAAGAACTTTCATGCTTCTGGACTGAAAACAATGTGGTATTAACATCAATGGCGAAGAGTAAATCACTCACATCGATTAGCCGAAGATATAGTTCTTATTGCAGAATTGCTGGAGAACTAAGCACTGTGCTCAAAGACCTTTATAGTACCTCTTAACGGATAGATGACAGGAAAAAAGGTTATGTGTAACGTCCATGTCATGACTAAGTAAGTCCAACTTCGACCGAAAGGTCTATCGATGTATGTAACTCGGCTGGGCAGTGTTCGACACATCTTCTCGTCAGGTATACCTCAAAACTTGAAAACGAGATTGTACAACCAATGCATGTGGGCCATACAAGGAAGCTCAAAGTTGGCTCGGGGTTTCCCTGCGTGATGAACTTAGAAAGAGGATTCGGATATCTGCAGTAGAACCAGAGTAATCGACATAGCCCAACGGTAAGTTACTATATAGCTTGAACAACCAACAATCGATGGGGAAGAAAGGTTCTAGAGTTGCAGCCTAATACCGGTAGTCGATGTGTAGGGCCTCTGAGATACGACCTAAAAAGGCATGCAGAAAGTCGATAAATGCAGGTGGCTCAGGACCGTGCTTGCTGGCATTCCTTGGGGGAGTCCTATGTTCAGTAAGTGGACTTGTGAAGGACTGTAATGACGACGATAAATAAACATAATTTTTAGAGTAAGGCGAATAAACTGAGCCGTAAACTATGAATTAAAGTAAAAAAATATAGCATGTAAGAAAAACTAAGCTTTTATTTTATTGGATTTGGTGACAAACGAGCACACAGTCCACCTGATGGTAAGTGGTTGCTGTGGCCCATAGACATCTACATTTATCCTCGTTTGCAAATCAAAATGCAGATGCGTTGTCACCCGTGAGGACTAAGATGGAATGCCTCTTTTCCAGTAAAAAAGGGTCTCCGGTTCTCTACACTCACCATACGAAACACAGCATTGTTAAGTTGCTATTTTACGCTGGTATTCTGTGAGAGCGTGGTCCTTCCCCGGTCGAGCCGACCCATTCGTGCTACAACTATACTTCTAATATAGCTGCAGCATGGCTCTACCACGTATAAAAAGTTAATCTGTCCACTGTGATTTCCTTGACTATAAATACCTTAGAAATATAAAATATAAAAGAATTATTAATCACGATCCAGATGGTATAATTCTTACATATTTATTATAAGTTACTAGTATTATAATATTAAATAAAAATAATTAATATCCTATGTCATATAAACTATATCTCCCGAATCAGATGTCTTATTCTATTTTTTAGTCACTTATTACCTATTTAGTCGATGGGGATACCTAAAATTTTAGTTCCTGATTATAAATTCTCCTGGGCCCAAAGAGGCTAGAATAAGCTACTATAAAAAAGATTGAATAGTTTATTTAGTAAGAAAATTATAAACTGTAAATCCTTTCTTAAACAATATAAAATAAACTTACCTTTTATCATTAGTTTGTGATGAAGTGAATAGCCATTTAATAGTAGGACTTGGATAGCCTTTGACATTACAGGGTAATTCAAGGTTACTTCCAACCGGCACCTTTATATTGGTATCTAGAGGTACATCTATGGCCACTGGTTCTGAAAAATAAAATGTAGGAATTTAACTATATAATGTAACATAAATGATAATTAGAACAATTCACCTTGTTCAAAAGTATTATAAAAATGCACAATCACAGTAGGTATATACACAGTATAGACTCAGAAAATTTACAATTTATATTATATGCATTAGATTCTATCGCTTCACGTAAATTATTAATTACTTTTACGTTTATTGCAACTCATTTTATATTCCCGACTGATTATGCTTTGGTCACGAGGAATTGGGGGGATTTTAATTAATTATTATTGTAGCACAATCTACGCATATTATGTCCTAGTGTCGCAGTATTACGCTTGGGTTTAGATTTAAGTTTATTTTAAGTCGCCGGCTTGCTAATTATGAATAATACCTTTGCGAGTACATTGCGGTTTTAACGGTGGTAGAGCAATGTGGCAGCTTTTGCTATTGCTGGCTCAAGCCGAGTTTTTACCAGGACCGCATAGAATACTGGCGTGAAGTAGGAGCTCTGCTTCTGCGTTTCGTCTGGTAAGTTCAGGTGGCCAAACGCCGAATTCACCCCCCCCCCCCCCCCCGCCCCGCCCCCATATAGATCCCATCCGCAGAGTTCGTGATCCTTGGCGATTTCAACGCCCACCACGCCGAATGGCTCGGTTCACGTTTAACCGATCATGCGTGGAGGTCTATTTATGAATTTGTCTTGGCATATGGTCTGACACAGCTGGTTACTTCGCCTACGCGGATTCCAGATGTGGAGGATCGATGCCCCTCTCGGCTCTTCGGGCCATTGTCTGATCCGGAGTGTGGTGCCAGTCACGCTCCCCTCGCGGTTGCGTTCTGCAGGTTGCCGCCGTGTTTGGCATTACAGGTCGGCGGATTGGGACAGAATGCGGTCTTTCTTTGCATCCTACTCATGGGGGCGGGTTTGCTTCTCGCCGTATGATCCCAGCGCTGTTACTGACTCTGTCGCTGATGTGGTGCTACAGGGAATGGAACGATTTATTCCATCATCTGTAGTAGCCATCGGAGGCAGATGTCAGCCTTCGTTTAGTCGCTCCTGTAAGACGGTATTACGCAGTAAGCAGGACTGTTATCAGGCCTGGGCTGCGGCTTCGGCGGCTTGGGACGTAAACATCAGCGTGCTTAAAAAGAAGTAAAACTTCACTTCCGGGTCCTTCAAAAGAGTTATTGCCACGGTAAAGTCAGAGCACATAGGCATAATTGGCGAGAAACTAGTTCGCCTTCCTTCGGGAACCAGTGCATTCTGGTCTCTCGCCAAGGCTGTCCAAGGGAATTTCTGTAAGCCATCACTACCATCTCTGCACAGGAAGGACGACTCACTGGCCCACTCCGCAAAGGAGAAAGCCGACCTTTAGGCTCCCTTTTTGCGTCCAACTCGACTCTTGATGACGGGGAAACACTCCGCCGACCATTCTGCGGTCTGAGTGCTGCATGCCGGATGTGCGGTTCTCACAGCGGTCGGTTCGCAAATCACTCCTCTCCCTGGACATCCACAAGTCGAGTGGGCCTGACGGAAACCTCCAATTATGCTGAGGACGTGTGCTCCGGAGTTGGCACCGGTTCTAACGCGTCTTTTTCGGTACTCCTACTTCCTAGGCGTAGTCCCGAAATCATGAAAGACAACTTTTGTCCACGCGATCCCTAAAAAAGGCTACCGCTCAGACCCGTCTAACTACAGGCCTATCGCCATCACCTCCTTGTTCTCCAAAATAATAGAATACATTATAAACTGCCAGCTCATGCGGTACCTTGAGGATTACCAGCTGATAAGTGATCGCCAATACGGTTTTCGTTGGGGTCGATTAGCTGGTGATCATCGGTCTACCTGACTCATCGATGGGCGGAGGCAGTAGAGTCCAAGAGGGAGGTGTTGGCCGTTAGTTTGGACATTGCAAAGGCCTCCGACTGGGTTTGGCACAAAGAGCTTCTTTCGAAGCTCCCTTCTTATGGGCTTCCCGAGAAATCGTGTAATTGGATCAACATCTTTCTTGCAGATCGGAGCATCAAGGTCGTTGTAGACGGTGCATGCTCCGACTACAAGCCTATTAACGCTGGTGTTCCGCAAGGTCGCGTGCTATCACCAATGCTGTTTCTTCTGCATATCAATTATATGTTGCGAAGTGGTAACATTCAGGGTTATGTGGATGACAGCACTGGTGATGCTCTATACACCGGCCGTGCCAATATTTCTCGGGAAAACGTCGCCGAGTACCGCAACAAACTTGTGTCTGAAGTCGATTTCGATTTGTCGATTAGAAGATGTTTTCTTCCTCGCATAACTTCCTTGTGGAATCGATTACCACCAGCGATTTTTCGGACCGATACAAATTAGTGACCTTCAAGAAAAGAGCCTACTCCTTTTTAAAAGGCCGGCAACGCATCTGCGATTCCCCTGGTTCCCCTGGTGTTGCAGTTGTTCATGGGCGGCGGTAGTCACTTACCATCAGGTGAGCCGCATGCTCGTTTGCCCCTTCTCCTATAAAAAAATTGCATATGCATAAATTGCTTCGTAAGTATACTAACTAAACTAACTAACTAACTAAACTAAGTAACTAAAAAATATTATATTAAAAAAAATAAGAGTTGTGTTAAAACGTAGTTTTTGACTTCTTTTAAAGTTTCCTTTAGCATATAACAATTTTTAATTTCTTTAAAATAAGAAATTTTCGGTAAATAATGCAAATAAAAATCTTTTTTAGGTTATAATATAATATGTGTATTCAAAGTCAAAAATTCCTTATAGAAAGCAATTAATGCATATGCAATAGAAAAGTATCATTCGAAATAGAAATTCGGTTCAATTCAGTCAGATTTTTATATTCGGTAACAGGATGATTTATAAAGAACATCTACAACTATTTTAAAAATATATTAATAATAAAATTAAACGAAAAAAATCACATTTTTTTTTATATATGGCGCTATTATCGCCAGATTACATCAGTAAAAATATTATCTATGCAAGTATATAATCTAACAATACGTATTGTCTAAGAACAAATTAACAAGGTCGTATAATTTGAGCAATGATCAGTTAATACTCATGTAAATAGTTTCAAGGAGATTGATATTAAAGTCTCTACATATTATGACGATAATTTAAAATGGTATTCCTTTAATATTTGTGAGAAAAACTTGTTGTTTTGTATAATATGTTTTAGGTATAAGTTAAACAATAAAGAACATTAATGGTGTATTACATCTTTCCTCTCGTTTTCCCGCAATCTGTGGGAGTGATTTCGTGAAAAAGTACGGAATTGTGTAACAGGAAGCAGGGGAAGCGCGCGCCATTTGAATTGACCAATGAGTACACGCTGTGATAATAAAGTGTGCTGTTATATAAACTAATTTATATGTGTAATCTATATTGATAAATGTATTTACTGCTGATAATAAGTGTGAAAAGTGCAGATCATTAATAAAAAATGGAACTTAATTAGGTATTCGAATAAGTATTTCAGTATTTAGCTTTAAAAAAAATTTAGGTTCATTTCTGTCGCTGCTCAATTGATATATTTAATTTTGATTTAAAAACAAATAGCTTTTTTCAGAACATAATAGAATAGAATATAATCATTTTTATTTAATAATGATTACATGTAATTTTTATTGAAAGTCATTTTTAACTTTTATAACTGGTTCGGAAAAAAAACCTTTGTCCTGTGAAGGACCAGCAAGAAACCCAGCGGGACTTTTTTTAAGCATAACTTACAATATAATATTTATACAATTGTTATGAAAACATTTAGAGCAATTGACAGCATGGTAGCGATCACTAAACAATATTTGCTTAATAAATATTTTAAAGGACTTCTGGGATTAGACTAATATACATTTTTGATGACTTAACGCCACCATTCAAATTCAACGACAACAATTTCGTACCTATGTACATTTCAATTTATTTATCGTAATTTCGATAGCTTGAACCGGTTTTAATAAAACTAAGAACAATAATAACTACTAAAGAAGATAAGCTTTATGAATTTCTTAACGATTCTTTTAAGAAGTATTAGTACTTTAGACGTAATACGTTCATAATCAAACAGACTGACAGACAGACAGACAGAACATTCTAAAAATGATATAAATGTATATAAATACAAACTTATTTTTAATCTCTCTCAATTGTTTTGTCACAAAATTATAAAATATACAGACACCTGCAATTCACAACTTTATTATATGTATTTCACTTACCAACTAAGTACATATGAAACATTTCAGCTACATTTTTAAGCAATAACATATATTACTAACAAGGTCATACTAAACGCCTAGTTATTTTAGTTAAAATGTCAATACAGACTTACCAAAAACTTTAACTGTCGTAGTCTTCTTAGCGGAACCTAATTCGTTTACAGCTTCACATGTATATTGTCCCGAGTTTTTTTCAGAGGCCTTAAATCTGTCAACAAAAAACAATAATTGTCAATCATGGTCAGCCGCGCACGGGTATTCAAGCTTATGGATCAATAAGAGGACAGTTATAAAATAGGTGTAGATAAACATCCCCCTAAGCAACAATATTAAGAAACGGCTTCTAGTCCCCGGCGGCCCGGCTATTTCTGGCTACGGTGGGCAGAGGGTACTAAGAATCTCATGTGGAGGTTCGGTTGCCACCTAAGACGCCTCGACTTGACAATATTTAACGCTAGCACCCTGCGGACTAACTAGAAGATCCTGGAGCTGGAAGAATAGATAGACAAGTTGCTCTAAGATTATTTCTAGGATTATTTGAAATCCGAAGAGATGGGGAGAACACGGTAATACTCGAATTCGGCAACTTGTTCTATAACCGGGAGGGCAAACATCTGTCCCAAGGAGGTATCAGATTTATCGTCCACAAGTCTCTCGTTACCAACATTATAAAAATTAGGAGTGTGTCGCCGAGGGTTGAGTATCTTATACTCAGGATCACCTAACGGTATTCCTTGAAGATCATGTATAATGAAATGAAGCCTGTAGGTTTATGCATAAATATCTTCACATCCCGATGTTGAAGTAGAAAAGATGCGCACCGCATACAGGTAACACAACAAACAAATCTCCAAACACATGCGGCGAGACTACGCAACTTTAATAAAGCTAGTATTACCTACAGTACCTAGTAAACCTCCTTTGAATGGACGGTCGCCCTCCCGATGATGGAACAGGTGCTGGATTCGAGAATAACAGTGTCCTAACTCTTTCTTCCCAACTCTCTCTTTTTTTAGCTTCAGAGCTCCCCTGGCGATTCTAAGCACTCCGTGCCTCGCCATTAGCATGGTCGCAACCGCATTCAATAATAGCAGGGTCGCTGGGAACTGGGGGCCACATCGCTGTGTAATTTTTTAAATTGTAATTTTGCTGTTATCAGAACTATGCTGCTGCACATCTACTGGTTTGTTACCCATTGATATCTTTTAGAACATCTACGGGACGATATGCAGTAGTGGATATTTTACACTGTCAATACGGGGTATCATAGCACTTTTAATCTCATAATAAGTTGCTATTTTACGCTGGTATTTCCAAAGAATACTAAAGTTAAAAAGCGACATGATGTTGTTGTATTTCCAATGGTGAGTATAGAGAACCGGAGACCCTCTTTATTCCTAACGAGGTGTTCTATCTTCATTCTCAAGTGTAGCAATGGGTTCAGTTGAGGACTAGTTTTTCATTCTTAATCGAATATAGATGTAGGTGATTGTGAGCTACAGCATCTGAATAAAATATAAAAAATGCGTACGTGAAAGAATCATTTGCGCGCTGTTGAAGTAAAATTGAGACATATTTACTTTGCGTCCCTCTTAGATATAATTTTAAATAAAACTAGTAATCATACTTTAAAGTGTTATCCCTGTATATGCGATACTGGTGTCCATCGCTTATTTCTATTCCATTCAATGACCATGTAACGTCTGGTATTGGTACTCCATCTACTAAGCATTTAATTGTGGTTTGTTGACCAATCTTTTGGATTAATTTCTTATGTTTCCTATCTTTAATAACAGGAGCATCTGAAAATATAATTTATTAAGTATAGCATAGATTTACAGCGTAAGTTAAGACAAAAATTAGACTAATCCTACTCTAAAATCGTTATCTTTAGGAAATTCAATGAAAGCGTATAAAAATTGTTAAAACACAATATTCGTAAATGTAGATTTTACAAACTTTTATTTACGGTCTGTTATGAACCTCAGGGCGTCGGCTGCGTTAAGCGGGACACCTACGTGGTTACAAGCGCGCGTGTTTCTCTGCTGCTCTGTTTCTCCAAAATTCAAAAGCACCGCTACTTTGTGCGAACTGTCCGCTACACGCGGGCCGTGCTATCGGTCCGCGCGTAGACAACCCAACGCGTTATCACGCGCGAGTACTTGTTTCATACAAAGAAAAGAGCGCCGCTGAAAGACGCCGACTAAGTAATCCCTTTAATAATGAGTCACTGATTATTAAGAATATAATTCTTTAAGATCTTTAACAGTGTTAATGTTAAAAAAAACAGAAGGTCTTTGGAGTAAAGTCAAGTCTGGCAACTTTACCAATGGAAGTTAACTTTGCCTTGGTATGTGCAGGTACAAAATTACGATTAACACGGACAAATGCCGAAATATGCCAGTTTTTGGAAGAATATTTAATAACTAATTAACAACTCTGTTGTCGATATGGCAATATGAGAGTTATTTTTGGCATTTTAAGGCGGAATTTTGCCGGTGAACCACATATTTGTTCAGTGCTCTATAACTTTATTGATTTTGATTGAAACCCTGAATGTAGATGTCTACATCTTTGTAATAAGGTAATATTAATGCTCAGGAAATATAATATTTTGTTTTTAACATGGTGATCTTAATATTGATATATAGAATCTATAGAATCTATACGTGGTAGAGCCATGCTGCAGCTATATTAATAATATAGTTGTAGCACGAATGGGTCGGCTCAACTGGGGAAGGACCACGCATAAGGTACGCAACCCTCGTCGACACACTCTCAATCTTTACAATGTTGTTAACGAGAGACTTGTGGACGATAAATCCTACACCTCCTTGGGACAGATGGTCGCCCTCCCGGTGATAGAGCAAGTTGCCGGATTTGAGGATTACCGCGTCCTCCCCCTCTCTTCGGACTTCGGATAATCCTATAATATGCCAGCGTAACTTGTCTATCTCTCTTTCCAGCTCCACGATCTTCTCGTCAGTCTTCAGCGTGCGTGCGTTGTATTTTGCCAGGTCGAATCGTCTTAGGTGGTAACCGAACCTCCACCGGAGATCCTTAGCACCCCCTGCCTCACCGTTACCATAGTTTGATCTATACTATGATTTATTTAAGCTTATTATTGCTTCAAATTGATTTTTAATTTAGACTGTATTTTTGTTTAAATTTTAAAAAAATGTACGTGGTATTATGTAATATAGGTAAATATATAAGTAAATAAGGCTTAAGCAAAAAGAAAAACGTTACAAGAAAAAGTGATTTTTTTTAATATCGTACTAAATTTCTTCACTACGTCGATAAAGAAGTTTTGTTTAAAAAAAATGAGTAAATTACGTAATCAACGTTTTTTGATAACCCTGACATATTTTTAAGTTTCTTAAAAAAATTTAATAATGGTTGGGCAATTTTGCCACTATCGTAAACTTTGTTAATTGTAACACAATTCGAGGATCAAATAATAACTCTGAGTTGAAGTTGAATCCTATTATTTTCATTAAAATCCCCGAAGGCATAGTTGCGACAAAGTAAGGTTAAGTTTTTTTAACTTTTCCATTTTATATTTTTGTCTATTTAATGTTAGTTTTTTTTTATAAATAACTAATAAAAACCAAATTTACGAAGAATATAGTGTCACATTTAACACAGAGATTTGTGTTGGACCTTGACTACCTTTTATGATGGAAAATTGGTCCTAGTCTTTTAAGTCCTTCTAAAAATGGCCAGGTTACCCGGTACCTCAACTACAACTTTTAAATGAATAATTCGTGCACTTGCACCACGACTAAGTAATATTTTTAATAATTGGCTTAAATGATATTTTTAATTTGGCTCGGTGGGATGGTGGTGTACTATGATTATAAAGCAATTTAAATCTTACTTATCTGATACTTACATTCAACAACCAAGTCTACGACGTGAATGTCTTTGCCGATTTCATTTTTTGCCAGACATTTGTAAGCGCCAACCATGGCTAAATTTACTTTCTCAATGTATAAGTTTTCAGCATGTTCCTCAATCTTGTTAAATACATCACTTTTTTCGTGTTTGAAAGACCAGTAAATCATTGGTGTTGGTTTACCTTTCAAAATTCTATAAACAGATTTTCATATATTATTCGTTGCATAGAATAAATAAACGGTTTAGGTAAAAACGTCTCAAAAGTTCCAGGAAATAAAAAAAAAAAATCACCTGCATAATATACTCACGCTGGATCCTTTACCGACAGAAATTTCAGTAACATTTTTGTCTATTTTTGGATACTCTGTGAAATAAAACTATGCGTGAAGTTGTTTGTAGACTATTACTTATTTTACCAAATTTATAAATGACACTTACCAATATCTGTAATTGACAGTTTTATATTATAAACACCTCTTTTTAAGTTGTTTCGTACCTCACACATAAAGTTTCCAGCGTAATTTGGCTTCATTTGATTGATAAACAATGAAGATCGATCAGATGACATACTTATTTCATTATTCATCTCAATTTCCTTGCCATTTAAATACCAAGTAATATTTGCAGGAGGGACTGCATTTACTTTACAATTTAAAGTTTCCTTCTCTTTGTATTTAACAGTTTTATCTGTCCAAACAAAATATTGATGAAATAGTTATTAAAGTAATAAACAGTAAACAGTAAAGCTACAACATGGTTAATATAAGGTACTTACTATATTTAAAAGAAAAATTATATTTTTTTCAATGACTATATTGATTGATATATATTATTGTTGATTGTTATATATATATATATATATATATATGTATATATATATATATATATATATATATATATATATATATATATATATATATATATATAACAACATAATTACAGTTTACCATACTCCACTGATGAATATGTTTATCCCCCACAGATTGTCTCATGGGTATATACAATGTATCTGGTCATCGATGTCGGAGACTTTGACAAATCACTATCCCTATTTTATTTCGTGTCTCCATGATGATATGGCAGCAATTTTGTTTTTTTACCTCGAGGCACGAGTGATTGTACTGATTAAGCCATAGCTACTTATGTACAGGTCCTAGGAAGACGGAAAAGAACTCGTTTTATAGCTAATAACGTAGAAAATAAATAAATATTAACAATATTGCCGTTTCTTTCTTATAAAAGAGAAAAAGATAATTTTTAAAACAAAAAAGATTTTTTTTAATAATTTTTTTTAATTATTAGTTTTGTCATAAAATCTAAACTCTCAAGATAAATGTTTTATTTTTACTTTTGAACGTTATAACAAAACGTATGCTTAAAAATAAGTCTCACGTCTTAGCCTTAAGTAAGGTAGTTTAGAAGTTATGACGGTTTGAATATGACCCTTGAAAGCTTAAATATCCCGCTAATAAAGAACAAGACCCACGGTATCGAGCAATTCCAAAGGTGGGTCTTTAGAAAATGCTGTGTTTTGTGTCAAGAGCATGTAAGAAAATCCAATATACGGTGTTAATGGGAGACTTCAATGCACAACTAGGTACAAGAGAGAAAGGTGAGCTGAAAGGAGGGAAATTTGGAATAGGGCAACGGAACCCAAGGGGCCAACAGCTGGCCGACTTCATGGAGAAAGAGGGACTCTTTATGATGAACTCTTTCTTCCAGAAGCGGCCCCACAGGAAGTGGACCTGGTCTTGCCCCGACGGTTCGACAAAAAAATGAGATTGAATTCATTATGACGACCAGACGACAAGTGTTCAGTGATGTCTCCGTGATCGCGAGGGTGAAAACTAGTAGCGATCACCGAATGGTCAAAAGCACACTGAACCTAAACATTTTAAGTTGGAGAGGTCTCGTCTAATGAAGTCAACGCTCCGTCCCCCTCATGCTCTGTTCCAAACTCCCGAAATCTTTCAGCTCGAGTTACAAAACCATTTTCAGTGCCTAGAAGACTGCAATGAAGTCATCATTCATAATCATCATTACAGCCTCTTATAAGTCCACTGCTGAACATAGGCCTCCCCCAAGGAATGCCACAAAGCACGGTTCTGAGCCACCTGACCAACCTCTCGGTCCAAGTTGGACTTACCTTTTTTTTTACGGGGGGAAATCCTCATGGACTACCTCCGCCTGGGGAAAGGCGGAGGGGCGTGCCGGACTCTTACCGGCTAAAACCACCCCGGTGTCTCCTCACACGTGCGCGTGGGGCCGCGGGAATCCAAATTCTTCCGCAGCCCCACACTAGTGCTGGCCCGGTCTGTCCGGGCCTCGTCTCCTGCACGGGGTAGTGAGGTGTTTAACTACCCCGTGTATCGCCTCAGGGGCGCGCGCCGACACCGCGCGCGCCTCCGCCTCGGGTCCATCGAGTAGGGGTGGCGGGGGCTTCCCCAAGTCCCTCGCCCCTGGACCCATTCATGGGGGCCGGAAAAGGGCGTTGTCCGCCCTTCTCCTGCGCCCGGTGCGCCTTCTGCGGCCAGGGAAGGGAGTCGAGATCTCCCTTTTCCGTTCCGCAGTTTCCTTCTGCGACATCACGTCCTCGCAGAAGGACACCACCGCATCCCACGACTCTGCGCTACTGACCATCTTCCGCACTAAGGCCGGCAGCGACAGATCGCCTCCTACTTTATTTGTGAGGACACGGCGCTGCTCCTCCCAAGCTCCACACTCGGCCGAGCGTCCGGCTCCCTGTCTATGCAGCGCAGGTACTTGCCGAAGCAGCCATGCCCCGACAGCACTTGCGTCACCCTTAACGACAGGGAGCCGTGCCTTCTCCCGAGCCAGTCGTCGAGTACTACAGAAGCCTTTGCCGCCATTCCGCCACCAAGACCTGACGGAGCTCCTCTCGGCGCAGCGCGATCTGCCGCTGCACCGGCCTCGAGCCCCGTGCCCGCTCTTCCTCGCGCCATCGATATAATGACGCGAGTACTTTCGCCTCTAGGTCCCAGGGCGGGGATCCGGCCAGGACGCAAGCCGCCTCGTAGGAAATCATGCGATACCCGCGGACGACTCTGACGGCCATCGCCCTCTGCGGTTTACGCAGAATGCCGAGAGTGCTGGCCGTCATGTCCATCGCCCCACAGGGGCCCCATACAGGGCCATGGACCGCACGATTCCCACGTACAACCGCCTACAGGCGGCGCTCGGGCCCCCAAGTTGGGAAGCAACGTTGATAGCGCGCCCGCTGCACCCATCAGCTTGGGCACCAGCCGCCGGAAGTGGGGTCCGAATTCCCATCGGCTGTCGAGCACCAATCCCAGATACTTCATGGTGGACTCGACAGCTATCCGGGCCCTGCTGACCATGATGTGTGAACCCGGCGGCGGGCGCGTCGAGGGCCATGGAACACCATGGCCTCCGACTTGTTTAGGGCCACCTCCAGGCCCAGGCGCTGGATGCGGTTCACCACTTGTGACACCGCAGCCGTGGCAACCAACGCTGCTTCCCTGTGCGAACTCCCCCGGGCAGTGACGAGCGTGTCGTCCGCATAACACGTCAAGTCAGCGCCCGACGGGAGTTCACCTATCAGCACCCAGTCGTAGCCGATGTTCCACAGGAGTGGTCCCAAGACCGATCCCTGCGGAACACCGCACGACATGACGCGCCGACCAGCGCCGTCACGTCCCCAATAGGTAACGCATCTCTCTTCAAGGTAAGCCCCTATTATGCGGCAGAGGTAGGGAGGCACGCGATGGTAATTCAGTGCCTCCCGAATACAACTCCAGGGTAGGGTGTTGAAGGCGTTGGAGATGTCTAAAGACACCGCCAGCACCACCCCACCCCGGGATATTGTCTCCTCCGCCAGGGCCCTCACGCGCGTAATAGCGTCTATGGTGGAGCGCCCGCGACGAAAACCAAACTGGTTATCGTCCAGGTCCGGCCCCTCTCTGCACAAGTGGCTGATGAGGCGATCTGCGATGATGCGCTTAAGAAGTTTGCCCGCCTCGTCGAGCAGCACTATGGGCCGGTACGCGGACGGTGAGTCCGCGGGGCGCCCCTCCTTCCTGAGCAGGACCAGCCTCCCCTCCTTCCACACACTGGGAAACTGACCCTGCTCGAGACATGCCGTGAAGAGCCCTCTCAACTGGGGCTCTAGCTCTTTCAGAGCCAGGACGAGAGCTCGAACAGGAACTCCGTCGGGTCCGGGCGCTGTGTTCTTAGCCCGGAGTCGCGACACGGCCGCTCTCGTCTCTGCTTGCGTCACCTCGGGGACATCAGTGCTCTCCTCTTCTGGAGAGTCTGTGGCTGAGGGCGAAGCCATCGCCGGGGGAACGTGTCCCACTCGCTCAGGGAAGAGAGCCGATACCACCGCCTCTAGCAACTGGGGTTGCATCGTTTGTGTTAGTGGAGGCGCCCAGGGACGCAACTTGCCCCGTACCCAACGGTAGGGGCGCCCCCACGGATCCCGATCTAGGGACCCCAGCAGCTCTTCCCTGGCACGCGACTTTGAGTCGCCGATGGCTAGCCACAGAGTCTCCTTAGACGCGCGGTACACCTCATACAGCGCGTCCTCCTCGGCGGAATCCCGTCGACGCCGCCTCCGGTATCTGGTGTACCGGCGACGAGCCGCAACGCACGCTATGCGCAATTGCGCGATCTCGGCGGTCCACCAGTACACCTGGCGCCTTGCGGACCGTTGGCGGACACGGGGCATAGACGCGTCGCAGATCTGCGTCATCGCCCCGCGAAACCATAGCGCAACCGCTTCGACGTCGACGGGGCCGTCCGTCGTCGACTCCCAGATCCAGGACTGGACCTATCCAATTGCAGAGAGGTGTAAGACAGGGTGATGTTATATCCCCGAAACTCTTCACCGCTGCATTGGAAGACGTTTTCAAGCTTATGGACTGGAAAGGATACGGTATTAACATCAATGGCGAGTACATCACTCACCTTCGATTTGCCAACGATATAGTCCTTATGTTAGTATGAGGAAGCTCAAGGTCACTCAGCAAGCTATGGAGAGGGCTATGTTCGGGGTTTCTCTGCGTGATAAATTTAGAAATGAGGATATCCGCAGTAGAACCAGTGTAACCGACATAGCCCAACGGATTAGTAAGCTGAAGTGGCAGTGGACCGGCCATATAGCTCGAAGAACCGACAACCGATGGGGAAGAAAGGTTCTCGAGTGGCAGCCTCGTACCGGTAGGCGAAGTGTAGGGCAACCCCCACGAGATGGAGTGATGACCTGATAAGACATGCAGGAATTCGATGGATGCAGGTGGCTCAGGACCGTGCCGTGTGGCATTCCTTGGGGGAGGCCTATGTTCAGCAGTGGACTTAGGAAAGGCTGTAATGATGATAATGTAAAAAAAGGATGTGTTATTAGCTAAGATTAAGACAGAATACCGCTTGTGCTTATATTGGGCGCCCTAAAATGTAGTCGACCCTTGCCCGGCGAGATTTGTGTTTACACTCTCTTGTGCCAACAAACTGTGCGTTGTTATTATTGAACATTAATGTTTAGTTTTTATTTCGTTATTGGACTTTTGATTTGTTGTGGACTCAGTTATCGTTTTTTAGTAGATGAATCTTAACTAAAATGGAAGTGGTCCATTATTTGAGCCAGGATGTGGCTAACATCCCTTTCGTCTATGGTTTGTCCAACGGGGACGCTAATGCTGCTGTAAGAGAGTATGCGAGAAGATTTCCCAATAAACCGACGCCGAATGCTCGCAAATTCATAAAATTACACCTGAATCTAGCTAAAAATGGTATTAGAAGACCCGCTAACGAGCGTACTCCTTTAGTGTCACCGCAAGTAGAAGAAGAGGTATTACAATAATGATCACTCAAGACTAAGTGTCAGGCGCATTGCAATTAGACTCGGTTTATCCAAATGGACATAGTGGAAGATTTTGAAAGGGAAGTATTGCGTCCATACTATTTTAGAAGAGTGCAAGAATTTAATTGAACCAGATGTTGCACGAAGGGCAGTTTTTTGTTCGTGGTTATCAAGAAACGCGCGACCTAACCCAAATTTTTTGAAAAAATTTGTGGACTGACGAAGTCCCTTTGACACGATCAGGATACACAAACCACTGCAGCGAACATTTGTGTCTCTACGATAATTCTCATGCAGTAAGACAAAGTACTTTTCAGCACCAATTCTCGGTGAATGTGTGGGCTAGAATGATCGACGATATACTGATTGTGCCTCTCATTTTGCCAGCCACGATGAATGGCTCAAGATTTTTTGGGTTCCTGGAAACTGATTACCTAGACGCACTAATGAAAATACCATTGACTTAGAGGTCACGAAATATACTACAAGTAGACGGAGATTCGGCACATTTTGCAATAAATGTAAGAAACTACTTAAATGAACGATTTTCGACGTGGACGTTCTCCGGACTTGACCCCCTTGATTTTACTTGTGGGGCAAAATAAAAAAGAAAGTAGTACGTAGACGTACTAAATATACCCGAGGAACTTATTGAAAAAATTATACGAGTTGGAAACTAATTGTGGAGAGACAAAGACATGATCCAACGCGCTACACAACATGTGTCAATTAAAGCAACAGCTTGTCTGCAACACCACGGAGGATATTTTGAAACGTAGCCGTAACTTTTGAATTGATTTTGACAGAATATACCATTATGGTAATCGATTTATTTTGTTTTCTTTTTTTCTTTTTCTACTCCAAGATTAGAAATACTACCATGTTTAAATCATTATAACTTCTAAACTATCTTATTTAGGGCTAAAATGTAACAGTTATTTTTAAGCACACATTCTGTACTAACGTACAAAAACAAAAAAAGCATGTAGCGTGATAGTTTAGATTTTATGAGAAAGCTAATAATTAAAAAAAATTAAGAAGAAAATCTTTATGGTTTTAAAAATTCTCTTTTGCTGTTTTATAAAAAAGAAACAGCAAAATTATTATCATTTATTATCTACATTATTGAGTATCAAACGAGTACTCTTTCGTATTTCTAGGATCTCTACATGGATAGCCACGGCTTAATAAGTAAAAGTACCCGTGCCTCGAGGCAAAAAAAAAAAACAACAAAGTGACTGCCATTTCATCATGGAGAGAGAAAAAAATGGGATAGTGATTTGTCGATAAAATTTACCATATTTCCACCCCCACCCCCCAAACTCTCCGATACCGGTGACCAGACACATTGTATATAACATGGGCATATAGCAATAGTTGTCACGCTTGGATTAATTTTATATTCATATAATTATTTTAAGTTGTTATCAGGAACATGCTTCTGGCCATCTCCTGTTTCAGTTTTCCCCTATCTCCTCTTACCGCATAACGTCATCCTGTGGGCATTGACCCACTGGATGACTGTATGCGGTATTTGGTTCTCTTACTCCACCGCTCCACGACTAAGTATTACTACAGTGGTTATAATATTAATAATATTAATCAATCAATATTTCAAAACATAATATTACCTTTAGAAATATTCACAACTTCAAAATGACTTTTTATTTTGACGTCAACAGATGTCACATAATTTCCAAATTCGTTGCTTGCTTTACAAAAATACGTATTATTCGTGATCATATGATCTATATCTAATACACTAATATATTCATATGGAAGTCTTTTTGGTGAGACCTTAAAAACATTACACAATATTATGATTATGTTATTTTATATTATATTTAACAAATTACTTAAATTAAATGTTATAAATGTTTTAATACCGTAAATGTTAACGATGAACCTAATTTGTCTTCCCATACAATTTTAGGTTCTGGATATCCAGTCACGCTACATTTGAACTGCAAAGGATGATCATAATTAGATACTATTTTTGTTTCTCCCATAATATTTGCTATAGGTGCCTTGTTCTCTATGGGTTCTGTTAACAGAAAATACGGTTTAATTACTAATGATGTGTTAAGTTTTAGATATTATTATATTATTTTAATGTTGTACTAGGGTTATATTATGTATGTCGACTCATCAACATGTATACTACAGGTTGTATTCCTCTTTTTGTTTTGAACAATGTGCGTAACTTCCCGCCTGCTTTGATGTTTCCAGTACTACCTAGTATCCTAGTATACCTATTTTTTGAATTTTTTAATTCATAACATTCTAATAAAATCCACCGCTGAACCATATACCTCTCCATGAGTTGCCCATTTTGCTATAGTTGTCGCGTTTGATAGGCGGGTTGGTAACCGCAGTTTATATATTTTCAAATTGTTATAGAAGACGCTGCTGCCTATCTCGTAGTTTTTTTTCCTCTGTTGCTTCTTACGATACCTAGTCGTAGAATTCATGAATGTTCTTTCAGACATTCAAGCTTAGAAAAAATCTGTTCGCTCTTCTTTGGAAGATATCCATATTGTGTTCCGTAGGAATAAAATTCTATGCTGTATGCACATTAATCTTTGTAGATTCACAACTATAGGATAGAATCCCGCCATTCATCTTATTATTCTATAATGAAAATTAAATGGCTTTATCAAATAAGTTAAAAATTTATACTTTTTATGTGTTATGCTTAGTTTCACTTTTATGAGTTGTCTTTTACTAACTTTCTCTTTTTTTTTACAGTTTTTACTTTTTTGCGGTTAAGGAGCGAATTGAGGAGAGGAATTATGTTTTCTGTAGACACCTTAAAATAATAATTAGTAGAAATATTTAGCGGATTATTATGATTCCCTTGCTTCGAAAACAGTATTTATAAAATAACGGAAATATTTTTTTAACTTCATCTCATAATATCGTGAAATGGCATAAATTGACTCGCTAAATCATTCAAACTTCAATTTTGGATGTGTCTGAGCCCTGCTATTAAATAGCAAACGTTTAGTAATGTAATCATGGAATCACACCATAATATAATCTAGCGAGACACATGTATTCCCTTTAAACGATTTTCCGACAACTTGCATAATATGAACTTTTATAATGATATATAATGACTTATCAAAATAAAATACTGCTACAATTACTATACTTTTATCAGGAGCACCAATCATGTAGTTGATATTTTAAGTTTATTTAAGTTTTTTAATTTTATCAAATTAAAGAATAATTTAAAAAAAAACTCTGCTTTAGAGAAAATCAAATTAAAATCCAGTTAATTTGTAAATCAGCAAAAAACTGGTTTTAATCGATATAATTGTTGACATTTTATGCAGTTAAATAAGGTAATAACAAATGTTTGAATAAATTTTTCTTACCATCTGAAAGCTTCTGGGGTGCCACGGGTGAACTATGTACTCTATATATGGTTTCATTTGTTTCTTCGTTGACTCCTTCAATCTACATGCAATAGTTAAATATAGTAAAAATTAAATTAGGTTTAACATTTAATACAAAGTAATTTTAACATCAAAATCTAATTACCCTAATTTTGAAAATTTGTTCTGGGGGAGTGACTTGCTCTGTAATATAAAATTGATCTTCAGTATTGGCAGTCCATAAAGGCTCTTCTAAAATAATATTATTTTCAGTATCTAACAATTGTACTTTTTGTAGTTTTATTATTTCTCCTTTAGTTTTAAGTTTAATAGACAGATAAGATTTTCGACCTGAAATTAAAAAATATATCTTACAAGACTTCATATAACACAAGAACTACAAATTGAATTATACCAGCTTTACGGATTTTATCATGTTAAATTTAAATTATTTTAACAGACCACGTTTCAAGTGCTTTACGGGTAACGTCCTTAACCTGCGAAAAATAATTTCTGTCGGATCTACGCACAATCAGCTTTCTGTGTATTGTAATGTTGCAGTGGAATACTTGGGTTTGAATTTATAATTCTATTAATTGTAGAATCTCAAAAAGTAGTAGTAACCATCCAGCCACCTTGGGTACCTACAGTAAGTAGTAAGTACCCAGCCACGTTCTATTTTGAAATTTGGATGTTTTTTAATTTCAATAGTCTTGCGAATCATAATTGTTAGGAATTGGTGTTCTATTTTTTTGGATTTGATTTAGGGTTTATCAAATCTGATATAACGGTTGGGGAGATCTTGAACAGTCTAGTCATTGTACACTTCCCGTAAAGGTGGTGTTTCAGCTATATGTTTACTTTTTTATTTAGTAAACTTCATACAACTTGATGTATAGACGGACATAATGGTGGACTTAACAGACCTTTGGGTGATGCAGAGATAAGAATATAAAGTAGGTGTGTGAAATGTTAGAAGATAGAAATTTAAATTAAAGTATATAAATAAAAAACAAAATAATACATATACCCATACACAAACTTATTCATTATTATCATCATCATCATTACAGCCTTTCACAAGTCCACTGCTGAATATAGGCCTCCCCCAAAGAATGCCACAAGGCACGATCCTGAGCCACCTGCATCCATCGACTTCCTGAATGTCTTACCAGGTCGTTACTACATCTCGTGGGGGTTGCCCTACACTTCGCCTACCGGTACGAGGCTGCCACTCAAGAACATTTCTTCCCCATCGGTTGTCGGTTCTTCGAGCTATATGGCCGGCCCACTGCCACTTCAGCTTACTAATCCGTTGGGCTATGTCGGTTACTCTGGTTCTACTGCGGATATCCTCATTTCTAAGTTTATCACGCAGAGAAACCCAGAGCATAGCCCCCTCCATAGCTCGCTGAGCGATCTTGAGCTTCTTCATACGGCCAGCAGTGAAGGACCTCGTCTTAGATCCGTAAGTCATCACTGGCAACACGAACTGGTTGCACAATTTCGTATTAAGGTTTTGAGGTATGTATAACGAGAATATGTGTCGTAGTTTCGCGAACGCTGCCATCGTAACTCTACTGTACAAACACTTCAGCATTTCGATATACCGACAATCAAGTTGGGACCGCTGAAGGGACTGCAGCACCGCCCAAATTTCGGCGGAATCAAAGGCTTTCTCATAGTCCACATACGCAAGGCAAAGTGGCAGATTGTACTCTTCGATCTTCTGTACAATTTGCCGAAAGGTATGTATGTGGTCTATGGTACTAAAGCCTTTTCGGAAATCGGCTTGTTCGGGAGGCTGGAAGTCGTCAAGTCTGCGTGCGAGACGATTCGTAATGACTCTTGATAACAGCACGTATACGCGGCTCAGAAGGGAAATTGGTATGTAGTTCTTCATGAGAGCGTTGTCGCCTATTTTTACCGGTTTTCCACCCGCTTTCAAAAGCTCCGCTGTAATTTCATCCTCGCCCGGGACTTCCCGTTTTTAAGTTGCTGGAGAGCCATTTTAATCTTGATCAGACTGACGTATGGGATATCTTCGGAATAGTATCGGATAAGACTCGCTCTTGAATCGTTACTCACACTTGCGTGTGACTCCAACGATGACGTGTAGCTGCCCATAGAACATCTCAATCTCACTCAAAATCTCAGGTGTCCCGGAAACGATGCTGCCACGCTCGGTCTTCAGCTTTAACAGTTGGCTCTTTCTGGCAGACGGATCTCTGGCAAAGACTGCTCCAAGCTTGGAGCCTTGGTTCTGCTCGATCGCTTCTTCAATACAAGCTGCATTGAAGTTGCGTAAGTCCCGCCGCAAGCATTTGGAGATCTGTTTGTTCAGTTGCCTGTATGCTGCCAAATCTGTTAAAGAATGTAGCTTCATCTCCCGTCTAACAGCCATGAGATTAAGAGTGTGATCGGAGAGTTTTTGTGTTCTTCTGCGGCGGGTCTTGCAGAACTTAGCTCCGACCGCATGGACAGTTTCCACGAGCTTATCATTCATATCGTCCACTTCATTGCAGTCTTCTAGGCACTGAAAACGGTTTTCTAACTCGAGCTGAAAGGTTTCGGAACTTTGGATCAGAGCACGAGAGGGACGGAGCGTTTACTTCATTAGACGAGACCTCTCCAACTTAACGTTTAGGTTCAATGTGCCTCTAACCATTCGGTGATCGCTACCAGTTTTCACCCTCGCGATCAGGGAGACATCACTGAACACTTGTCATCTGGTAGTCATAATGAAGTCAATCTCATTTTTTGTGGAACCGTCGGGACCAGGTCCACTTCCAGTGGGGCCGCTTCTGGAAGAAAGAGTTCATCATAAAGAGTCCCTCTTTCTCCATGAAGTCGGCTAGCTGCTGGCCCCTTGGGTTCCGTTGCCCTATTCCAAATTTTCCTACTTTCAGCTCACCGTTCTCTCTTGTGACTAGTTTTGCATAGAAGTCACCCATTAACACCGTATAGTGGGTTTTGGAGGATTGCATGGCTCCAGAGATATCCTCATACATTTCTTTCACCTCCTCTTCGGTTAGTTAGGTTGGTGCGTAAGCCTGTATGACCTTCAGTGATTCTTAGTATAAGGTACGCAACCCTCGTCGACATACGCTCAATCTTTACAACGTTGTTAACTAGATACTTCTGGACGATGAATATGACACCTACTTGGGACAGATGGTCGCCCTCCCGGTGATAGGGCAAGTTGCTGGATTCGAGGATAATCCCATAATATGCCAGCGTAACTTCTTTATCTCTTCTTCCAGCTCCAGGATCTTCTCGTTAGTCCTCAGGGTGCGTGCGTTTTATGTTGTTAGGTCGAGTCTTCTTAGGTGGCAACCGAACCTCCACCGTAGATTCTAAGCACTCCCTGCCCCGCCGTTACCGTGGTCGCCACCGTAGCCAGGAATAGCGTGGCCGCCGGGGACTGTGGCCGTCTCTTTGTTACTCTCATCATAGGGGGGTATTTGCCATAGTTGACACGCTTGGCAACTTCTATTGTAATTTTGCTGTTATCAGGAAGATGCTGCTGCCCATCTCCTGCCTATTTCCCTTTGTCGCCTTTTACGACACCCACAGGAAGATATGGGGTAGTGGATATTCATAACCGCCACTACACGGCTAAGTAAGGCATAGTATTTATTATAGTATATATTAAATATAAAATATGTACATATAAGTTAAATAAATAACATTCGTTACATAATTAAATATTTATATAAATACACAAATAAATACTACTAATGAGATTATTCTGCTGGTTTATTTAGACAATGTTCGCGAACATTTTTTTTTATAGAAGAGGGGGCAAACGAGCATGCGGCTCACCTGATGGTAAGTGACTACCGCCGCCCATGAACAACCGCAACACCAAGGGAATTGCAGATGCGTTGCCGGCCTTTTAGAAAAGTTTAAGCTCTTTTCTTGAAGGTTCCTAAGTCGTATCGGTCCGGAAAATTCGCTGGTGGTAATTAATTCCACAAAGAAGTTGTGCGAGGGAGAAAACTTCTTCTAAATCGCACAGTGGTGGACCGCCAATCATCCAGATGGTATGGATGGTAACACGAGTTTTGTCGCGATGTGCGATGGTGAAATTGAGCAGCTGGAATTAGTCCGAACAATTCCTCAGAGCACTCCCCGTGATAGATGCGATAAAATATGCAAAGAGATGCAACATCTCTACGCAGTGCCAGTGTATCGAGCCGATCAGAAAGAACTCGGTCGTCGATGATTCGAACCGCTCTGCGCTGGATGCGATCAAGTGGGAGGAGCTGGCAATGAGGTGCCCCGACCCAGAGATGAGAACAGTATTCCATGTGGGGCTGAACTTGCGCTTTGTAAAGTTGCAAGCGATGTGCCGGCATGAAATACTGTCTCGCTCTGCTGAGCACGCCAAGCCTTTTAGAGGCCGTTTTGGCATTCCCTTCCAAGTGACCACGAAACTGTACACTATTCGATATGTTGACGCCAAGGATTCCGATACTAGCTGAGGCAGCAAGGGGAGTGCCGTGAAACTGAGGAGATACGACAAAGTGGTTCTTTTTAGCGGTAAACGCGCAAACTTGTGTCTTCTGGGGATTGAACTGGACTAGGTTTAGTCGACTCGTCTTCAGACACAAGTTTGTCCCGGTACTCAGCGACGATTTCCCGAGAAATATTGGCACGGCCAGTATATAAGGCATCACCAGTGCTGTCGTCTGCATAGCAATGAATGCTACCAGTTAGCAACATATCATTGATATGCAGGATAAACACCGTTGGTGATAGCATGCAGCCTTGTGGAACACCAGCGTTGATAGGCTTGAAATCAGAGCATGCACCGTCTACTACGACCTTGATGCTCCGATCAGCAAGGAAACTGATGATCTATTTGCACAATTTCTCGGGAAGCCCATAGGAAGGAAGCTTCGAAAGAAGCGCTTTGTGCCAGCCCCGATCGAAGGCCTTCGCTATGTCCAAACTAACGGCCAATGCCTCCCCCTTGGACTCTCCGCCCATCTATGAGTCAGAAAGACTAGAAGATCACCAGCTGATTGACCTCGATGAAAACCGTACTGGCGGTCATTAATCAGCTGGTGATCCTCAAGGTACCTCATGAGCTGGCAGTTTATAATAGATTTCATTATTTTGGAGAACAAGGAGGTGATGGCAATAGGCCTGTAGTTGGACGAGTCTGAGCGGTCACCTTTTTTAGGGATCGGGTGGATCAAAGCTGTCTGCCATGAATTCGGGACTACGCCTTGGGAGTAGGAGTACCGGAGAAGACGCGTTAAAAGCCAACTCCGGAGCACACGTCTTCAGCACAATGGGGGGACACCATCGGGCCCACTTGACTTGCTGACGTCCAGGGAGAAGAGTGCTTTGCGAACCGAGCGCTGTGTAAACCGCACATCCGGCATAGAGCCCTCACATCGCGGGATGGTCGGCGGTGTGTTCCCCCGTCATCTAGAGTCGATTTGGACGCAAAAAGAGAGAACAACAGATCGGCTTTCTCCTTTGCGGTATGGGCCAGTGAGTCGTCCTCTCTGTGCAGAGATGGAAGAGATGGCTGACAGAAGTTCCCTTGGACAGCCTTGGCGAGAGACCAGAATGCACGGGTTCCCGAAGGAATGCGAACTAGCTTCTCACCAATTCTGCCGATGTGCTCAGAACTTGCCTTGGCAATGACGCTTTTGAAGGACCTGGAGGCGGAGTTATACTTCTTTTTAAGTGCGCTTGTATTTATATCCCGAGACGTTGATGCGTCAGCCCAGGCCCGGTAGCACTCCTGCTTATAGCGTGATGCTATTTTACAGGAGCGACCAAACCATGGCTGGGATCTGCCACCGATGGGCACCACAGAGAATGGAATAAAAAGTTCCATACCCTGAAGTACCACATCAGCAACAGAATCGGAAACAACGCTGGGATCTTCCGGAGAGAAGCAAACCCGCCCCCAAGGGTAGGATGCAAAAAAAGACCGCATCCCGTCCCAATCAGCTAAATGGGCCTCATTCTTCTTGAATATTATGCATTCAAGCCGTTAACCTTTCAAATTTCAAGAGGGATACGTACGTTCCAGAGGAGAACAGACTGTACAGTGAAGGAAGAATGCACTTTAGTAAAAGGTTATTCAATGAACGCATGTTTTGTCATGGCTAGTATATAGTAGTAGTATAGTAAAGTAGTATAGTATATAGTTTTGTATGGTCAGTCCACCTGGTGGTAAGCAGTTGCTGTAGCCCATAAACATCTACATCTATCCTCGTTTGTGAATCAAAATGCAGATTCCTTGTCACCCGTGAGGACTAAGATGGAATGCCTCTTTTCCAGTAAAAAGGGTCTCCGGTTCCCTACACTCACCATACGAAACAGAGCAGTGTTAAGCTGCTATTTTACGCTGGTATTCTGTAAGAGCGTGGTCCTTCCCCGGTCGAGCCGACCCATTCGTGCTACAACGATACTACTAATATAGCTGCAGCATGGCTCTACCACGCATGAACACTTAAGTTGGGAACGATAATTAGACACACATGGTCATACTTACGAAGATTAAAAATGAATCGAATGCAGTTATTATATCAAGAAGATCTGCAAACATGTCAAAATCACACTAATTATCACATCACATCACCGTAATCAATCAGGGGAAGAATTAAGGGTTGCACATTGTGCAATCCAGATGGATGAAAGTTTTTCAAGCAGTAAAGAACACGCAGGGTACCGGTGATTTTCTGGCTAACATTTATCATTTAAGCATGCCAGCTCTAAGTGTAGTCAATTCTTAACAGAAGGACATGATCCCAAAATAGAGCCGTTGAATATATGATCGGGGGTAGAGCTGTTGTGGCCAATTTTTTTAATTATGCGATGGATACCTACTATCATAGCTTAACACTTGACACAGTTAAACCCAACATTTCAGAGCAGCTCTTAATATGCTCTATATATATGAAGATATATCTTATATCCACCGCAGCGGACACACAATCATCATACGCTTGTGCGTACAACTAATAGTCATCGGCAGATAGATAACACGTACAATCTCTTACAATATCTTGTGCTCTCAGAAACAAAGATTTTTCCATGGTAGCTAACTGTAATGGTTGGAATTGAGATTCAGTATTTAAATATCAGTTAATATGGCGTTTTTTTTTTCTATATACAGACTGACTAATGGTGTTATTAGGATTTTAATTGACTAGGCGATGAGAGCTAAAGAATTATTTAAGTCTAAATATAGTGTTTACCGAGTTAAAGTTGTCTAAAAAAATATCCAAATTTCAATAAAAAAGATGGCTGGGAGCTGCCATCTACTTGGATTCTTAATAAAATTGAATGAAATATATCTAAGCTAACCACTACAAGACTTCGAGATACAGTAAGCTGCATTCTGTGTAGATGGAACCAAAATTAACATCCAAAAGTTAAAGCTAGCTCCGATTAACTTTGACATCATTCCCCCATACCCATGGGTACTGAATACACGTGAAACGTCGGAAATTAAAAATAATTTAATAAGGTTTTATTCAAATGTATCTTACATTATTTCGACATCACTATGATCATGTGACATCTAAAAGTACAAAACTTCTTGGTATTAAACTTTATAGTTTTGTATTAATCCCTAGTACGCAGTATTTTAAAGAACAACACAATTATTTACTTTCCATACTATGATGGCCACGTAGATTGTATAGAAAGTTTTTTTTATAGGATAGGGTGACAAACGAGCACACAGTCCACCTGATGGTAAGTGGTTGCTGTGGCCCATAGACATCTACATTTATCTTCGTTTGCGAATCAAAATGCAGATGCGTTGTCACCCGTGAGGACTAAGATAGAATGCCTCTTTTCCAGTAAAAAGGTTCTCCGGTTTCTATCTATTCTGTGTTACAGGTATGGCTTAAATAGAACCCTGCCAATGAAGGGAAACTTAAATATTTAATAATTCGGTTTATCCAACCTAGGGTGGAAACTACGTGCTTTATTACGAATCGTCTCGCACGCAGACTCGATGAGTTCCATCCTCCCGAACAAGCCGGTTTCCGAAAGGGCTTTAGCGCCATAGACCACATACATACCCTTCGGCAAGTTTTACAGAAGACCGAAGGTCAATCTGACACTTTATCTTGCGTATGTAGACTATAAGAAAGCCTTTAATTCCGTTGAAATTTAGCTTTAGCGGTGCCAAGTTGACTGTCGGTATAATGAAGTGCTGAAGTATTTGTACAGTAGGGCTACGATGGCTACCCGAGTACATAACCAGAGTACGAAACCTATCTAACTGCAGAGAGGTGTAAGACAGGGTAATGTTATATATCCGAAACTCTTCACCGCTGCATTAAAAGACTTTTTCAAGCACTTACGATTCGCCAACTATATAATCTTTATATCAGAACCACTGGAGTACCTAAGCACTATGCTCAATGAACTCAATAGTGTCTCCCAACGGACAGGTCTTAAGATAAACATAGACAAAACAAAAGTCATGTTTAACGTCCATGTCACCTATGCCGGTAGTTGTTGGGAGCACTAAGCTCGAAGTTCTTGACGAAAATGTTTACCTAGGACAAAGAGTCTGACTAGGTAAGTCCAACTTCGACCGAGAGGTCAATCGACGAGGTGGCTCGGGACCGTGCTTTGTGGCATTCCTTGGGGGGCCTATGTTCAGCAGTGGACCTGTGGAATGATGATGGTGATAATGATGTCACCCGTGAGGACTAAGACGGAATGCCTCTTTTTCAGTAAAAAGGGTCTCCGGTTTTTCGCTCTTCACCATAAGAAATACAGCTGTGTTAAGATGCTATTTACGCTGGTATGAGAGCGTGGTCTTTCCCCGGTCTAGCCGACCCGTTGTTGCTATAACTATACTAATAATATAGCTGCTGCATGGATCTACCACGTATAATAATAACGCGATTCAATGCAGTAACGGATATGAACAAAAGGGAAAATTTATTTTACCTGGGATTGGTTGATTTGTTGTATCATTTCTTGAAGAGGGCTTAATGATAGAGAATCCATATTGAAAATTAACATTAGTCGTACCAAGCACCGTCACTGCTGTATCACTTAAACTACCTACTTCGACACTATGAATACCTGGTTTTGGATCTATTACGTTGACAACCTAAAAAGATAAAAACCGTATAACAATAATTATTATTATTTAGTGAATGGTAAAATAAATTTTACGAAGATGAGTTAATAATTTAAGAAGTATTACAAAAGTACCAGTTTATGACGGTACAAAGCTACAGAATCGCATGCGTTACCGAATCTGTTACGCCGTAAATTGAAATACTGAACATTGCTATCGGTCTCGTCCAATATGTTCTGTTTAACATATACCGCAAATTTATTTTTTATTTTTAAGTTGTTATTAGGAAGACGCTGCTGCTTACCTCATGGCTTGTTCGCCTCTTACGACAGCAGCGGGGTGATATGGGTTAGTAGATATTATTCTTACACTGCCACTACACGGTCAAGTAAAAATTAGCATATTTTTAATAACGCCAAGTAAAATCTTATAATTAGATATATGTAGTATAAGCATCAACAGTAGTTACAATATTAGTTACGCTTAATAATTTAAAATTATTGGTTTATTTATTCCCAAAATGTGTTCTTAACTTCAAAAACAGGTAACATATTAATAAAAATAAATGTATATTAACTATTCGCTCTGATATATTGAAAAAAACATTGTCAATGTTTATTGATTTTATTGTATTTTATCATAACATATTGTAAATCACGGTACCTGTGATGACATACTGTTATGAGACATGTTCTCTCAGCGAGCTTGTAATGAACATATTTGCAGAAAGTAGGAACAGAGTAACCAAAAACGACCAACGGAGTAGAAGTTAAAATTGGCAATGAGTCGATAATATAGCTTAAAGAACCGACAACTAGAGTGGAAGATAGGTTCTCAAATGGCAGCCTCGTACCGGTAAGCGAAGTATATGATGGAGTGACGATCTGGTAAGAGATTTCTGCATCAGGACCATGCTTTGTGGCGTTTCTTGGGGGAGGCTTATGTTCAGTAGTGAACTTGTGTTCACTAATGATGATATAGATGATGATGAAATCACGATTGGATAACCTACAATTTTGATTTGATCTACGCCCTATGTATGTTAGTGCGCTAAGAAAATTTATTAAATAAAACATTTTTTGTTGGAAAAACTGTCATAATGCTTAAACTGATTAAATAAGAAAGATAAATGAGCACATATAAAGTAATTAATACAGTGATTACGGAATGCAATTTTGCTGACTTTATATTATACGAGTATGTAACCTTACACCCTTAGAGTTGACGGTATTTTATTGATATCTTTCAGTAACAACAATTTAAGTATTTACAAGTTACTTACCTTTACTTTTGAAATATTCACGATATTGTTTACTTTAACTATATTGCCATCGTCATCAGTTATATTCACACTTGGCCGATTTCCTGTGACGGATACATCCAGGGCCGAAACCGCACTATCTACTGTACACTAAAACCGAAAGATAATAATATTACGTATATAAATATATCAAAACCACATCGTATTATACATCATGTCCATTGACGGTGCTTGTATCGACTATTTTTCATGAAACACAACCATAATTGAACCGTTTATTACTAGCCATATCGTTTAAATGTTTGACGATTTATTCATTCACGTTTGACCATGTAATAAATACACAAGCAACCATCTAGTAATATAAGCGACAATAAGATGATGTGTATAAAATATAAATTAAACATAAAGTAAACTTATGAAAAATAATGCGTTATAAGCAAAGATATTTTTAATTAATGGATTAATAATTAATGGATATTTTAAATGGCCAGTACAGGTAAGAGGAAGATCTTATCGTTCAAATCGTTCGAAAAAAATTTTCAAATGCTTGTTATACTAAAAAGATGTTAAATTATGAAAACATTTTAAGAAACTGGCTGGTTTACTCTAAATCAACTGATTCTGTTTATTGTTTTTAATGCAAACTTTTTCATGCCGTTGTCACTCCACTCCTCTTAATGGTAAAATATGTTACAAAGATTGGCAGTATTTGTCTATAGCTATAGAACTTAGGGCTCCTATATGTCTTAAGAAACAAATTATATTGATAACTATTTAAAAGAAAAATCAGTAGATTTATTGCACCAAGTTTTATTTATAGGATAGTGTGACAAACGAGCACACAGTCCACCTGATGGTAAGAGGTTGCTGTGGCCCATAGACATCTACATCTATCCTAGCTTGTGAATCAAAATGCAGATGCGTTGTCACCTGTGAGGACTAAGATGGAATACCTCGTTTCCAGTAAAAAGGGTCTCCGGTTCTCTACACTCACCATACGAAACAGCAGCGTTAAGCTGCTATTTTACGCTGGTATTCTGTGTGAGCGTGGTCCTTCCCCGGTCGAGCCGACCCATTCGTGCTACAACTATACTACTAATATAGCTGCTACATGGCTCTACCACGTATAAATTGAAACCACGTCGAAATTAAACAGAAGAAAAAAACGTTGGGTTTGGATTACTCCAACGAAAAATCAACATAATTCATTTTTAGCGAGACAATGTCTGGCTTTTCCGGGAGAGTCTGGTAAAATTTACGGTTCTGATAATGGTAATTTTTTAAAGCTGGTTGACTGTACTTCTAATTTTGATAATGTGCTTGCAGAACACATTGCCCTTATTCAAAATGTGAGTCACGCCTAACTTATACGCGAAATAATAATAAATTTATTAGGAGAGAGAATAAAAAAATAACTATTGTTTTGGAATTGAAACAATCGAAATATTTTTCAATTATTTTAGATTGCACTCCAGATGTTGCACACGAAGAAAAAATATCGTTTTTCGTACGGTACGTTCTTTTCAATGCAAGCAACAACAAGGCTTAAATAAAAAAAAACACTTTCTGTTTTTTTTCCTATTATAGGACACTACTGGTCAGGGCTTAACTCAATTTTTGTTAAATTGTTTAATCTCAAACGAAATTGTCATACAAGAATGTGTGGTCAAAGTTACGATAATGGTGCTAATATGAAAGGAAAAATATAGGTCTACGAAAACGAATTTTAGACTTAAACCATCGCGCATTTTATGTACCTTATGCGGTGGTACATAGCCTTTTCAAAGTAAATGACGCTGAAAGTTGTTTTTCTGCGTCAACAGCATGTTGGCAAATACTTACGAAAGAAATGCCAACTTTAAGTCTAAAACGCTAAACGCTTTTTGGGCAGTTCCTTCACGGCGCAAAAACTGTAGCGGAAGAAGTCGAGGCAATTGCCGAATTTTCCAGACTTGCCCGCCCTCGCACTCGTAGAAAGTTATTTTACCGGTAACAGACATGAAAACACATTTTAAAGTAAATTTTTAAAACTATTTATTAGATACCGCAATAACTAAGTTCGAACATTTCGCACTTTTGAATCAAAACTGTGAAATGTTTTCATTTATTAAAAAATTAAAACACTGGAAGGATATGGAATTACATACAAAATAGCACAATGTTCTAATTTAGAAAATAAACTGTGTTATATTGTCTCTTCGGATGTGGAGAAGTTCGAGGTCTTTAATGCAATCGAATTATCACTGATGTTTATTGATAATTTCACTACATACGCCGTTAGATATTTTTAATTACATGTTTACGAATAAATTAATTTCAGTGTTCTGAAATCTGTCCACAGCACTGGTAATTTTTCTCATATTTCCAGTCACTGTATCAAGTATTAAAGTAACAAGTATTGAATATGTAGTCAATGACATTGTTAAAGATTTTGCTAATGCAAAAGCACGAAAAGTAACTTTTTGTAAATATGTTTGTGTTGAATTACAAGCGTCCTGTAATATAACTAGTTTTAAAATTAAATATTTTTGAAATAACTTCAAAGTTGCGCTTTTTTATTCTTGAAATCCCTTCCTTTCTAAAAAATCCTTTTAACTGTTGTACCAATTGCTTCCCGACATCATTTAAAATTGAACCATTTGCACCCGAATTTCCGTTTCAAAATATAAATCTACATATATAAGAATTCCATTTTGACCACGCTCTTACTAGAGGACGCAAGGGTATTTGCACATAGGTGGTATAAGGGCTAGAGCCGCCTCTGATAAATAATGTAAATTAATACTAAATCCAAATTTTAAAATGTAAGTAAAAAGAACACACAACTTTTACGTGGTAGAGCCATGCTGTAGCTATATTAGTAGTATAGTTGTAGCACGAATGGGTCGGCTCGACCGGAGGAGGACCACGCTTTCACATTATACCATCGTAAAATAGCAGCTCTACGCTGCTGTGTATCGTATGGTGATTGTAGAGAACCTGAAACCCATTTTACTGGAAATTCATTCATTCCATCTTAGTCATCACGGGTGACAACACATCTGCATTTTGATTTGTAATCGAGGATAGATGTATGTTTTTTTTTAAGGAGAGGGGGCAAACGAGCATGCGGTTCACCTGATGGTAAGTGGCTACCGCCGCCCATGAACAACTGCAACACCAGGAGAAGCAGGGGAATTGCAGATGCGTTGCCGGCTTTTTAAAAAGGAATAGGCTCTTTTCTTGAAGGTCCCTAAGTCGTATCGGTCCGGAAAAATCGCTGGTGGTAATCGATTCCACGAGGAAGTTGTGCGAGGAAGAAAACATCTTCTAAATCGCACAGTGGTGGACCGCCAATCATCCAGATGGTATGGATGGTATCGCAATTTGGCCTTCTCTTCCAAGTGACCACGAAACTGCACATCACTCGATATGTCGACTCCGAGGATTCCGATACTGGCTGAGGCAAGAAGGTGAGTGCCTTGAAACTGAGGAGATACGACAAAGGGGTTCTTTTTAGCGGTAAACGCGCAATGTCTATGGGCACAGCAACCACTTACTATCAGGTGGCCTGAGTGCTTGTTAGTCACCCTTATCCTATAAAAAAACATATATGTATTATATATGTATCAGGAGAGCACGTCAAAGGCAGCGCGATTGACTTTTCCCCGCTCCAAGAAAACCCTCTCAGAATTATGGAAATAAGCCAGCCGTGTGCAATGTATAGGCTGTTAACTGCTAACTAAAATATATCGGGATGTTAAACACCTCAATCCCCCCCGTGACCACTTTACAGGACCCGAAACTTCGCGAATTAAAAAGTTAAATTAAACGCGATAAAGTTCGTAAAAATTAGTTTCATTTAATATAGGCTGTTAGTTTACTTTTTTTAATTGAACTCTTTACCTTTGTTGCACTTTTATCACATATGCGCTATTAAATAAACTCTATATCTAATTAAATTGCTATATGAGCTATTTTGCCTATAAGTATTATAAACATGAATAGCTAAAAGCAACCCGCTTCTTTGCATCGCCTTTCTCGGATAATAGTAAGAAAATTACATTTACCCATCTAATAATAGTCTTATGTCATAGCTCGCGTATAATGAAACCATACACTGAATCTGATAAACTTAAAATTGACGCATAATGTATGGACTTAACCCCTGTTTTTAAATCAACTTCTATTGACGATAAAGTCTCCGTGCTTAATAATATAGTTCTTAGTCTGTACAACAATCATGCTCCTAAACATCAAGTAAGAGTAAAGCGTCCACCAGCCCCGTGGATAACTAGGGCCGTAAAGGTGGCAATGACCAGGCAAGATCGAGCATTTATCAAATTTAAGAAGCATCGTACTCAGGAGAGTTGGGATTGCTACAAAATGCTGAGAAACATTAGCAATCAGATGGTACGAAATGCTAAACGCCGTTATATTCATAGCAATATTACAAATTCTTCGACCACCGATGTGTGGAAATTTCTTAAAACACTTGGTATTAGTAAGGCTGTTACATCTGATCATGGTCCATCAATCACTCTGGATGAAATAAATCATCATTTTATCTCTACTCCTCCTTTGGATCCCACAGTTCGTTCTACAACAATAGCTTCCATTCAATCCATACCTTCTCCTCCTATTCCTTTTTTTCACTTTTTACCTGTGACTGAAGATGAGATCCAGAAATCAGTATTAGCTATTAAAATCGAAGGCTGTGGGTTGCGATGAGGTTAGTAAGGTTATGATATCCATGATCCTTGAGTGCCTTTTGCCTGCAATCACACATATCGTAAACTTTTCCCTTGACTCAGGACAATATCCTACTCAGTGGAAAAAAGCATTTGTGCGACCACTTCCTAAAATACCCAATCCTTTATTACCTACCCATTTAAGACCAATTTCAATTTTGCCGTACCTATCTAAAGTTCTGGAAGCCTGTGTTCACAAGCAAATCTCTATGTTCATAACCAAACATAACCTGCTGAATAAATATCAGTCAGGCTTTCGAGCAGGTCATAGTACTACCACTGCCTTGATAAAAGTCACAGATGACATTCGAATGGGAATGGATGAGCAGAAGCTTACAGTGGTAGTACTTGTTGATTTTTCAAATGCTTTTAACACAGTCGACCACGATATCCTTATAGCCTTCCTAGCTAATCTTAGATTCTCAATTCCAGCTTTGGAATGGTTTTCATCCTATCTTCGCGGCCGCCAGCAATCAGTTCGATTAGGACAACAGTCTTCAACATGGGCTGACATTGAAACAGGCGTGCCGCAAGGCGGAATACTTTCTCCTATAATGTTTTCTCTATTTATAAATTCTATTACTTCAGTTCTCAACTGTTCGTACCATCTGTATGCAGATGATCTTCAGCTCTATGTGCAATCTAGTGTTAATGACCTTAACTATAATATTCACAAGATCAACCACAACCTTGATGCCATAAGAGATTGGTCGTACAGACATGGTGTTTCGGTTAACCCTTCCAAATGTAAAGTAATGGTTATAGGTAGTAGCAGAATATTAGCCAAGATTAATAACAATGATTTTCTCCCGTATTTTACAATGGAACATTGCTGCCATTTTGTAAATCTGTTAAAAATCTTGGCTTACATATAGACCATACCATGAGCTGGGCAGTTCAAGTTGCTGAAATAAGCCGTAAAGTTACTGCCACCTTACGATCTCTTTGCCGTCTCAAAAACTTTCTGCCTTTTAAAACTAAGCTTCTACTTGTCCAGACTTTGATATTACCCATTATTGATTATGCGGATGTGTGTTACCCAGATCTATCTCAATATCTTCTCGATAAGTTCGAGCGCCTTCTCAACAATTGCATTAGTTTCATTTTCGGCTTACGTAAGTATGACCATGTTTCTCAGTACCGTTCTAAGCTTAAATGGCTTTCTATTCGTCAAAAGCCTAGCTCCCGAATTTTACAAGTACTGTATTCAATTTTAAATGACCCAAATTCTCCTTCTTATCTTAAGGATAACTTTCAGTACCAATATTCTACTCATGATAGAGTTCCCCGTTCCCAAAATAGTCTTAAAATTCGTATTCCACCAAATAAGAGTGGTTTCTTTAATTCCTCTTTTACTGTGCAGTCCATACTGCTCTGGAATGCCTTACCTGTTCATATTAAAAAAACCAGTAACAAACAATATTTTAAAAGACTTGTTCGAGAATTCTTTAGCAGGAATAATACCACCTGATTTATCCGATTTTTGTTTTTCTCACTCTTTCGCTTTGTAATTGATATTTTGTATAATATGTATTTTAATATGCATCATGTCATTTTATTTTTGTGTTATATTATTTTATATTTATTTAGAGATTTTGTATATATAAGTATATTTTGTCCGTTTATATATTTACTATTAATTTTTTTCTGTTTATTACAAAATAGATAATATTAAGTTTGTATAGTTTAAAAATATTTTATTTATTTGCTTTTTGTTATAAGACATAATGTTTTTACTTATTTATTAATTAATGAGTGGTGTTGCACCTACCACAGCTTCTCAAATCATCCAGGGTTGACTGGTAGAGAATGCCACGAGGCATTAAGTCCGCCCTTTATATCCCTTATTATAAGGTAGATGTAAAAAAGAATAAATAAATAAATAAAATACAGTGCTTTAAAATACCTTTAGCGCTATCTTGGTGAAATTGAACTAATTAACCGATTATTACACTAAAATAAGAACTATGATATTTAGCAAATAACTGGTAGGAATAATATTAAAACAACTACAATTTGATACTGTAATTTTTAATCTCGCAACAATGTAAATTTAAAAAAAGTTGTAACTGCAAAAGGGAAGATTATGCCTACTGCCCAGCTCCTTTGATAGAGACCGTGATGATATATAATTATTCTAACGGTTCATACCTACGTAATACTATGGTGAAAGTGCCATCTAAATCCCCTCACAGGTTTTTGCGTGATGCATGTGTAGACAGACAGAAAGTTTCCAAAAAATATTGTTTTGACATCTGTATCGATAATATAGAAATTTCAAAAAAAAATTAATAAACAGAAATCGTCGTGTTATTAGAGTTTTATTATAATATAGATATTTGTATTTACCAAAGTTGAGGTCGTGTCAACGATACTCTAGTAATTAAAAATAGACTACTATAAGTGACAGTGTTAACTAGTGTGGTAAGCAATTTTATTCCAGAAGTCAGAAAACTTATTGGAATTCGACCTCCAGATCTATTGTCATTATCATTATCTCTTATCAACAAAATAAATAAAAATTAAAACTTACTTAAAAATAATACTTAAATATAATAATAATATAATAATAAGCATGATTGTCACAGAAATATAAGAAATCAAAACTTACGTTAAATTTGTACCCGTATCCAGGGGGAAACTTCTTTCTCGCCAATTCCGTTTTTCTACTCTCTACCACTCTTGCGACGTAATTTAATAGCTTGAAAAATAAATTTTGTAGATAATTGTGTGATGTTATGAATTTAATTCAGACTTTTTTTTTTTTTTTTTTTTTTATAGGAGAGGGGGCAAACGAGCATGCGGCTCACCTGATGGTAAGTGACTACCGCCGCCCATGAACAACCGCAACACCAGGGGAATTGCAGATGCATTGCCGGCCTTTTAAAAAGGAGTAGGCTCTTTTCTTGAAGGTCCCTAAGTCGTATCGGTCCGGAAAAATCCCTGGTGGTAAACTATTCCACAAGGAAGTTGTGCGAGGAAGAAAACATCTTCTAAATCGCACAGTGGTGGACCGCCAATCATCCAGATGGTGTGGATGGTATCGGGAGTTCTGCCGCGATGTGCGTTCGTGAAATTTGGCGGCTGGGATTAATCCGAAAAATTCCTCAGAGCACTCCCCATGGTAGATGCGAAAGAAAATGCAAAGAGATGCAACATCTCTTCGCAGTGCCAATGAATCGAGCCGATCGGAAAGGGCTCGGTCGTCGACGATTCGAGCCGCTCTGCGCTGGATGCGGTCAAGTGGAAGGAGCTGGCACTGGGGAGCCCCTGCCCAGAGATGGGAACAGTATTCCATGTGAGGCCGAACCTGCGCCTTGTAAAGTTGCAGGCGGTGTGCCGGCATGAAATACTGTCCCGCTCTGCTGAGCACGCCAAGCTTTTTAGAGGCCAATTTGGCCTTCTCTTCCAAGTGACCACGAAACTGCACGTCACTCGATATGTCGACTCCGAGGATACCGATACTGGCTGAGGCAAGAAGGGGAGTACCTTGAAACTGAGGAGATACGACAAAGGGGTTCTTTTTAGCGGTAAACGCGCAAACTTGTGTCTTCTGAGGATTAAACTGGACTAGATTTAGTCGCCCCCAATCCGAGACTTTGTCCAGCAAAGACTCGACTTCAGACACAAGTTTGTTCCGGTACTCGGCGACGTTTTCCCGAGAAATATTGGCCCGGCCGGTGTATAGAGCATCACCAGTGCTGTCATCCGCATAGCAATGAATGTTACCAGTTAGCAACATATCATTGATATGCAGACTCATTTATCAATATTTTTTGTTATGCTTTTATTTATATCTGACTTCCAACAAGATAAGCACCATATCATTCTATATATGTATATTATGTATTAACATATTTTACATACGACTAAGTATCAACTTTACAGGTAGTCACAACATGCGTTTTATGTGGTAGAGCCATGCTGCAGCTATATTGGTGATATAGTTGTAGCACGAATGGGTCGGCTCGACCGGGGAAAGACCACGCTCTCACAGAATACCAGCGTAAATTAGCAGCTTAACACTGCTCTGTTTCGTATGGTGAGTGTAGAGAACCGGAGACCTGTTTTACTGGAAAAGAGGCATTCCATCTTAGTCCTCACGGGTGACAACGCCTCTGCATTTTGATTCGCAAACCAGGATATATGTAGATGTCTATAGGCCACAGCAACCACTTACCCACCACTCCCCCAAGGAATGCCACAAAGCACGGTCCTGAGTCACCCGCATCCATCGTCCTCCACCAGTCGTTACTCCCTCTAGTGGGGAGACGCCCTACACTTCTTCCGTCGGTACGAGGCCGCCACTCGAACCTTTTTTCCCCATCGGTTGTCGGTTTTTCAAGCTATATGGCCGGCCCATTGCTACTTCAGCTTACTAATCCGTTGGGCTATGTCGGTCACTCTGGTTCTACTGCGGATATCCTCATTTCGAAGTTTATCATGCAGAGAAACTCCGAGCATAGCCCTCTCCATAGCTCGCTGAGCAACCTTGAGCTTCCTCATTCGGCCAGCAGTGAAGGACCACGTCTCAGTTCCATTGGTCATCACTGGCACACGCACTGGTTGTACAGTCTCGTTTTCAAGTTTTGAGGTGTACCTGACGAGAGGAAAGAAGTTACAGCAAATCTTCTCTTCAGGTACTTTATTACAAGTTAAAAATAAAATCGATAACCTATCCTATATTTAAAACGAGCATGATATCTAGATCATGCTCGTTTTAAGTATCACAAGCAAAGCTCGGTCGCTCAGCTACTTAAGAATTAAGTGCTTTTAAATAAATCTGAGTTTTACGGATGTTATATTAACTTATTTTAAATTCCCGACGTTTCGAGCAATTTACAGCATACATGAACCCGGGGGAGGGTGGGGGGGGGGGGTATTCGACGTTCCGGTTTCATAGTTAACCACGGCTACCTTCAGTTTAAATTTATTAATTTTTAATCCAATCTACGCAGTTTAAATTATGTTTGGGTTGGGATTTCATTTTATTAATTATATAGGATCCCAAGCAAATAGTAGTAGCCAATCATCTTCTCTATTTAAATTACGATGTTTTCGATTTCTGTATTGATTATTGCTGCACACCACACTGTACTTCTGGAGCCGTACTTACTAGATTGATGTTGGGACGGGAATTCAGAATTCGATTTTCATTATTGAGACCACCGCCAGTAAGAGATAAATTTTTGAAATGCATTTCAAGCAACACAATTATGTATCGAGAGGAAGAAGTAATGTAAACTTCTCTTTACGACAAAATGCTATGATTAATAAGATCCTCCAGACCGCATTTTGGTCACGGCAGCCAGTCTGAACGGAGACTAGCCATCGGCGTGGGACTGGGTTATAGTGCCCAAGTGTATGCGCAAGCACAAGTGTAAAATTCCCTCACTCTCATAGTCCGATGGGATGGTAAACCGACACGACCGTAGAGAGATCAGGCGCAGGACCAACGACTTTACGTGCTATTCAAGGCACGGGGTTGAGACACCGCCAACTTCCTGACTGTGGGCAGCTACTGAGAATTTCTTGATGGAAAACCCAATAACTGATTTTTTGGCCCGACTCGGGATTCGAACCCGGGACCTCATGATCAGCAGTCGCACTACTACAACCACTAGGCCAACGAGGCAGTGTTATGGTTAAAGATTATAGGAAGGAACATCAACCTTCGATTAAGGGTGTCATTTTGCAAGAATCAGTTCCAGGAGTAACTCTCTTCATTGTTGTTGATGTCCTCATTTGTAAAAAAGCATGTAAATAAAATTATTAATTGTGGAGATTAGCAAGATGAAGTGGTTGTTACTGAACTGGTTCTTATACGTACATTTAAATATTATCATTATTAAAAAGATTTCATTCAAAGTTACCTGGATTCACTGTAACTTTTTAATACAAAAAAAAATTAATATCATTATAAAGTTTAACTTACTACTTATTTTTTAGTAAATTGTGTTCTCCATTGGTAAGTAAATATTATAAGTTACAACTTTGTGACTTGGAGAGTGTAATGTATAAAATACTTTATTAATGCACCAATAGATGGTTTCATAATTAGTGGTTTGTCTTTATAAGTTGCCATCTGTCACTGCACAGTAATAATTTATAATGTAGCTTCATCTCCAATCGTTTATTAAAATAATTTCGTAACTAATTTCCCAAGTCTGATTTAAAAATTGAAGTCATATTAATAAGAAAATACCTCTTCCACTTGACTCTTTCCGACAGTAAAAATGTGGCCTAATGTAGATTCAGCTAACTTCTCATAAACTTGATATCCAGGAGATGTGGCGTTATGTTTCCGGCACATTCCTGATATCACGAACACAATCTGAAAGATTTGTACAGTGTGATTAAAAATCTTAGCTTATTATCGATAAGCAACGGGTGTATCTAAGCTGGTTTGTTTTATTCCATTCTTCGTAATTTACACTAAAATTACATTACAATGATAATAACCACTAGGCTAATAATATATACTAATAAAATGAGAGTCAAAAACGAGCCTACAGTCCATCTGATGTTACGTTTCTATACAGCAGCCCATGGACACACATTACTGACTTCCATCAAAGTTGTCCGTAGTCTTTTTTTTTTTCTTTTTTTTTAAACTAGTGATGCTATTAAACATTTATAATATTCCCTTTAACCACTTCTGGTAAGCTTAAAATGCTTGTGTTAGAAGTGGTTCACGACAGTAGTCGAATGGCGGATTCGAACCCACGACTATATCTAGTGTTCTGGAGTGAGAAGCGTCATGCAATTAGGCTACTGACGCTTCTCAGTCCTGAACACTAGATATTTAGCCTTAATTCCGTCTAATAATTTAACTAAATCTAAGTATAATTTAAACCGTAATATTATTGACTTTACACTGCTCCTTAGTCGCAGAAATATTTATAGAAGTAGCATTATTTATAAGTAGTAATCAAAGTGAGTAAATGTCTGTATTTTTTCCTTAGTCAATATTGTACACATTAATTTTGTGTAACAAGCATGAGGCCTGTTTCATAATATGTGTGCAAATTGTTTTATTTTTGTTAATTAAAGATAGCAATAGAAATGCGAAAATTATACGTGACGTTTAACTTTTCCATTAAACAAGTGCGACTGAAGGCGAACAACTAAAGGTCATCCATGTTAAGAAAGTGAGTTACATTTGTCCCTTCCTTGTGAAGCTGAAATTTGTTCTCGAAACTCTTTACTAATGTACTCAGAAGATACATAGAGAGGTAAAATCAGATTGAACTTAAGAAATCACTCGAGAAGGGCCCCTTTTTATTCTTATCTAGCTTTATGCATCAGTTATCCACCCATTGAGATGACTAGGGATCGTAATCTACTGCCCCAGCAATAAGTTAGGTTTTTATTTATATATAGCAATTATAAATATTACTCTAGGGAGTATCTAAGTATGCAGTCAACTTTCTACAGCTCGAGAACCCTCTTTAGAGATGTATGAAGCACCAAATCGAATTCCTTTCTGCAATCTATCCACGCGGCGGGGAAATTCTGGCATTAGTGTATTTTGTCTGCGATAAAAATAAAGAAAATATAAATCAATTTTACCTGTATCTCTTTGTCTATTGCTATTTTCTTTACTTTCTCAAATTTAGCGTAATCCTTTGCAGCAGCATCTGTGAAAACGTATACATAGGAACCAAGGCGACTTGCTCGAAGTGCTAATTCTATTCCAGACATCGCTAACTCCGGACAGTCGCCACCACCATGAACTCTTATTGACATTAATGACTTTTTAAAATCATCGCGATCAGTAGTATTTGTCCGTAACTTTGTTCCTGTGAAAATAAAATTATAGTATTCAATCTGAACGCAGGACACAGAGTAAATGCTCTTCACTCTATTGTGAGAAGTCAAATTTGTCAAAAAGGCACGTATGATAATTCACAATGCTGTGTTCGTGCCTACCTAATACATGGTAGTGAAAGTTAGTTGTGGCAGAAGAAGCACGAGAATAGAATTAATGCTGCAGAAATGCGGTCATTTAGAAGAATGTTAAGGGTGACTCTGAATGACAGGGTGAGAAATTGTGTGGATAAGAGAAAAGTTTGGTTTGCAAGGTGCTGTTGTAACTAAGGTTAAGAAAGGAATGTTTCGGTGGTTTGGGCATGTAGAAATAATGCATGAATAAAACGTGACGAAACATATTTATATTGTAGAAGCGAATGGCAGAATCTGCATATATTAAAGATGGGTCAAATTAAAAGTACCCTTATCTGACGAGCATGTATTATATGGATGTGAAGGAGGGGAGATAGGTGTGTCGGGATCGTGCCAAACAAAAGTCCGTAGTCTCTGCATACCCCCCCTGGAGAACAGACGTGTGTTATATCTTCTTAAGGCAAACGTAGAAGAATGGAGTAAAAATCCACGACGCTTTTCCAGAGAGGGTTAAAATAAAATATATTTTTAGTTATTTAAATTCATCATACTTTTCTTAGACATATAAATTGCCTCGCATAATTTTACTTCACAGCATGTGGTAAACCAGAACCAGGAATCGACAGATATTATGCATGTTACAGAATTTAAGAGCAATGCATTCTTAACGTAAACGGTATAAGAATTTATAACAGAATTACTTTTAAGAGAATCACAACAAATATATTTTCCTTTCCTCAATAAAGTGATCACCATTATTCTCATCCACGTCATACAGTTTGCCATTAGACATCAATCCACTGCTTATCGTAGTTAGAACTGCTACAATAACATTCTTAGACATATTTTTTATTTTATTATTTCGTTCCTGTCAAATCAACTGATCACAGCATGATTGCATTAAAATAAAGATGTATAGCTTTTAAATATACGTACATACATTTTAACGTATCTCTTTATATTTTCATTATTTAATGATGCAACTTAACCTATTTGGCCAAAACTATATTAGACTTTATCATTAAGTTTACTTATATATTTATGAAGACAAAAGTTATGCTGAACAAAATACCAATAATCGACATTTATGGTAATAACCGTAATACGTAATAAATAACTATAGCAAGAAACAATTTATACCAAATAATTACAATATCTGAACTAAAACTATACGATCATATAGCGAATTATTGAAACAGTATTATAGTGGATGTAGCAAAAAATATCTTTAAGTTTTTTACTGTACTCATACAAATTATTAATTATCTAACTCACCAGGATCATTGAACGTAACAATAATAAAATTTTCTATCACTGATGCATTCGAATTGATAACAATATCGAAAATTTTGTCTGCGCTTTTGAGTACACTTTTAATTTCTGATTGCATCGACTGAGTGTCATCAAACACAAATGTTAAACTGCTTTTGCTTCCTGTTAAACTGAATATTACACATATTTGAAGAATATTTATTATAATAAAACTATAATACACTCCGCCAGTCATGGCGCCCGATAACTAAATGGAAACAGTGTGTTAAAATACCAAGCGAATGTGTGAAATGATTTATCTCACGAAGCTGCGTTACCGGATATTAAAAAAAAAACACAATATCAAAAATAATATTAACTAAATAATTGCGTTACCAGTGTTAACCGTATAGATAATAACGATTTTGAAGTAAAATAGTGTTTACTTAAATTCATGTTTATAGTATGAAGTTATGAAGTGTGTTGCGAACTCTTAAGGAAAAACACAAGTAACAAAGTTGTATATTTAGGTTATCAACAAAAATTTATGACTAACCGTAACTAATAACATAAAATCCAAAATAAATTGATTTTTATAAACTATCATTCATTCGTTGCGAAGGCTTTATAACAGTCTGGGTATTATGAATAATAATGTTTAAGTAAGTGGAGTACGATTCTTTTTCATCTAGGCGAGTGGATGACTGATGCGGAAAACTGAACTCGAACCGACTCTCCTTTCTGAGAGGGGTTGGGTTTAGAATCAAGTCGCCTGAATTTGAGGGGGGGGTCTGTCACTGTGGGGGGGGGGGTCAAGGGGGCTTATCTCAAACGTCCCCCATGCAATTTTAGCTGCCGGAGCTGCGTCGAAATATTTAATATAATTTTCTAAAAATATTCATAAATCACTAATTAATACCTGAAACGGAACTTTTGACATTGATAGTAATCAGTTACAGATATACTCGACCAAAGAGAATACTCGTTTTGTACTCGACTTTGCGACTCGCGTAATAAGCGTCATTCCGTTGCTTCCGAGTTTACGTGAATGAGCTCCTTATGGTTATTATCTGCCTCCTGTTTTTGGACGACTTCGCTACCCCTCTGGAGACTGATTGCTTGCTATTTTACGACGTTTTTGGAAATGAGGTAACTTCCCTAAAATATGTTTACTTATTAAAGTAATTATAAAAGTTAACATATTGGTATTTTATTTGGTGCAACAGCGAGCAAAGCGAGCTCGGGACTTGGGGCACCCCGACTTGGACAGGTTAGATTAGAAGGGGATGGCGAGCGAAGAGAGCGAACATACCCCTCCATCCCCTTCGTGGTTATTTTTTTATAAACCATCCAGAAATAGGAGTCCCGCAAAGCGGGGCTCCGTTCACTAAGCTTCCCTCCTCAAATCAGGTTTATATTGTCAAAAACATTACGAAAACATAAGCTCAAAATGAGATTTTTAAAAATTTATAAAAAAAACTAAGCACGTCCGGCAGGAAATGGAAGTAGGAGGTGACTCTACAACTCCCCTCTCTGCAGCGACTGATACTTTTTAATGTTAATTTGTCGGTACATTTTCTTAATGTCGCATATGAATGCGACATTAAGAAAATGTACTGACTTTTGACAACTGAATCGAATTAGGATTGTCACTAGATCAGGTTGTACTACAGGCCCTATGTACAGTATATCATTTAGACTCAAACCTGACGACGAAGGCAAACTACAATTGAACACCAGTCTGAACTGAACACCAATGAGAAATACGAATAAGATCTTCATTAATTAATCTAATTGTATTGGGGAGATCCGCAATCTTACATTGACAGTAGATTTGTAAATCGTCTGCATATAGGTGGTAAAGAGAAGTTATTTGGGAACAGATCTAATTGATGAAAATAGAGAACAATAGAGGAGATAACACGCCACCTTGTGGGACGCCAGCTTTGACAGCAGACCAATCAGAAAACGTGTCTTGAATTTGTACACGGTGCCGGCGCCCTTGCAATTAACTATGAAACCAACCAATTACTTCAGGATATATGTTAAGAGAACTTAGGACAGCGAGTAAAACATCAAAGTCTACAGTATTGAAGGCATTACTAAAGTCAAGCAATGTCAATACTCAATGGAGTGCTCCTACTCCGACTCTGGGTCCACTGCGTGGGCCTCCCGGAATAGGCCCGCCACCGAGGCCAAGTCCGGCACCGGCTCACTGGAATCTTCTGAGCCGACGGAACCGGAGAATCTTCGATCACCACGGTGACTTCCAAGCGCGGCGTTAAACGCGCCTATCGCGATCACCTCCTTGTTCTCCAAAATAATGGAATCCATTATTAACTGCCAGCTCATCCGGTACGTTGAGGATCGCCAGCTGATTAGTGACCGCCAATATGGTTTTCGTCGGGGTCGATCAGCTGGTGATCTTCTGGTCTACCTGACCCATAGATGGGCGGAGGCAGTAGAGTCAAAGGGGGAGGCGTTGGCCGTTAGTCTGGACATTGCGAAGGCCTTCGATCGGGTTTGACACAAAGCGCTTCTTTCGAAGCTCCCTTCCTATGGGCTTCCCGAGAACTTGTGCAATTGGATCACCAGCTTCCTTCCAGATCGGAGCATCAAGGTCGTTGTAGACGGTTCATGCTCTGACTACAAGCCTATTAACGCTGGTGTTCCACAAGGCTGTGTGTTATCACCAACGCTGTTTCTTCTGCATATCAATGATATGTTGCTAACTGGTAACATTCATTGCTATGCGGATGACAGCAGTGATGATGCTCTATACTCCGGCCGTGCCAATATTTCTCGGGAAAACGTCGCCGAGTACCGGAACAAACTTGTGTCTGAAGTCGAGTCTTTGCTGGACAAAGTCTCGGATTGGGGGCGACTAAATCTAGTCCAGTTTAATCCTCAGAAGACACAAGTTTGCGCGTTTACCGCTAAAAAGAACCCCTTTGTCGTATCTCCTCAGTTTCAAGGCACTCCCCTTCTTGCCTCAGCCAGTATCGGTATCCTCGGAGTCGACATATCGAGTGACGTGCAGTTTCGTGGTCACTTGGAAGAGAAGGCCAAATTGGCCTCTAAAAATCTTGGCGTGCTCAGCAGAGCGGGACAGTATTTCATGCCGGCACACCGCCTGCAACTTTACAAGGCGCAGGTCCGGCCTCACATGGAATACTGTTCCCATCTCTGGGCAGGGGCTCCCCAGTGCCAGCTCCTTCCACTTGACCGCATCCAACGCAGAGCGGCTCGAATCGTCGACAACCGAGCCCTTTCCGATCGGCTCGATTCATTGGCACTGCGAAGAGATGTTGCATCCCTTTGCATTTTCTTTCGCATTTACCATGGGGAGTGCTCTGAGGAATTGTTCGGATTAATCCCAGCTGCCAAATTTCACGAACGCACATCGCGGCATAACTCCCGATACCATCCACACCATCTGGATGATTGGCGGTCCACCACTGTGCGATTTAGAAGATGTTTTCTTCCTCGCACGACTTTCTTGTGGTATCAATTACCATCAGCGATTTTTCCGGACTGATACGACTTAGGGACCTTCAAGAAAAGAGCCTACTCCTTTTTAAAAGGCCGGCAACGCATCAGCAATTGCCTTCCTGGTGTTGCAGTTTGATATCATGGCAAATCAAATTCAGCCACAGTGAATACACGTCACACGGCTTAGGCTTACGTCGAATAATAGGCGCACTGGCGATAAAATCCCTCCGTGAGCGCTACCACCCACCCGCCACTGCTGCAGACGAGATATAAGTGTAAGGCATCACCATCAATTGCTTGGCTAGCACAACGTCTAGCCTCAGAGCGTGTCATGAGTCTATTACTCATCACAAGGAAATGGAGTCCCAATTCGAGCGTTTCTCGGCCGCAGCCTTGAGTCTCCTCCTTAAAGCTACCACACGCATGAGGTCGACACATATGCTCCACCAACCAATACAACTGCAGATATAGCCAAAGAAAAATATATAAAAATAAATATTAATTTAGCCATCTGAGAATATTTGTGTATTTGACGTTGAATATATTCATTTTTCCATAGCGTTTGTCTCACCCACCATCAAGATTTTTTTAAAGAAGAGGAGGCAAATGATCATGCGGCTCACCTGATGGATGAATGATGATGAATGACCATCGCCCATGAACATCCGCAATACCAGTGGAATTGCAGGCTTTTAGGAAGGAGTATGCTCTTTTCTTGTAATTCCTTAACTCGCATCGGTCCTGAAAAACCGCTGGCGATAGTATATTGGACACTTTGGTTGCACGACGCAGAAAATTCCACGATTTATTTTAATTTATTATCAGAAAAAAATTGTTATAATATTGCTATGCGGTACAGCAAAAACCACGCAAGTTTGTGTTGCGTGCCGTTCCTACATTTACAAAAATGGGGATCATCATCATCATCATCATCACCTTGACAATTCCACTGCTGAACATATGCCTCCCCAAGGAATGCCACCAAGCTCGGTCCTAAACTACCTGCAAACATCGACTTCCTGGGTGTCTTACCAGCTCATCACTCCATCTAGTGGGGGGTCGCCCTACACTTCGCCTACCGGTACGAGGCTACCACTCGAGAAGTTTTTTTCCCTATCGGTTATCGGTTCTTAGAGCTATATGACCTGTCCATTGCCACTTCAGCTTACTAATCCGTTGGGCTATGTTGGTTACTCTGGTTCTACTGCTGGATATCCTCATTTCTAAGTTTATCACGCAGAGAGTCCCCGAGCATACCGCATACCGACGAGCTATGGAGAGATAGCTCGTTGAGCGACCTTGAGCGTCATGATACGGCCAGCAGTGAAGGACCACGTCTCAGATTCATAAGACATCACTGGCAACACGCACTGTGTGTGTCGTAATTTCCCGTACGCTGCCCAGCCGAGTTGAATCCGTCGATTGACCTCTCGGTCGAAATTGGACCACACGCACACGTACACGCACACGCACACCACGCACACACACACGCACACTCACACGCACACGCACACACACACACACACCAAGATAAGAGAATAAAGATTAAGAAGAGGTAAATGTTTGTTTTAGAGATGCGCAATCAATATTCTTTTGTCCGCAATTGTGCATAAAATGAAAGAAAACTTCAGCGAAAGAGCACAACTCGTATTATACTCAGGTCCATCAATTGGTATGGAAAAAGAAATTATTTTATCAGGTTTCAAAAACCAATCATAATTCAAAAAAATCAAAGAATATAGATCTGTATGTCTATACATACATAATATTTAGATTTCTGGCCGC